AAACCTAACCCTAACCCTAACCCTCAACCACGCACTGCAGCCTAGTGCCTACTCCGTCCCAGTAGTACAGCACCTCCTGCACTCACTGGGGGGAAGCCAGGTCTTCGCAAAGCTCGACCTGGCACAAGCCTACCAACAACTGCCGGTTGATGCTACCACTGCAGAGGCGCAAACTATCGTGACCCACCGAGGGGCATTCCAATGCAACTGACTCCAATTCGGAGTCAGCGTGGCGCCAGGGGTCTTCCAGAGCCTAATGGAAAGACTACTCCAAAGGATAAAAGGGGTGGTGCCATATTTTGATGATGTCTTGGTGGCAGCTACAAATAAAATGCAATTGGAAAACTGCCTAAGGGGGCTACTACAAAAATTCAAAAACTTGGGGCTTAAAGTTAAAAAAGAAAAATGTCAGCTTTGTACCGAGTGGGTCGAATTCCTGGGCTACCTCCTAGACAAGCACGTCGGGGCCATCCTCAGCTACACGCTGCCAGACGGAAAAGAAGCACTCATCGCTTTCTTTTCAAGAACACTCTCCAAACTGGAAAGAAATTATAGTCAGCTGGACAAGGAGGCCCTAGCAGTCATCTCCGGCATGAAAAGGTTCCACGAGTACCTCTACGGTAGGACCTTTTCAATTGTTACTGACCACAAGCCATTACTAGGGATCCTGGCAGGGAACAAGGCCACCCCGAACATCCTATCACCCAGGATGACAAGGTGGTCCGAGTTCCTGGCCGCCTACAGCTACCAGCTGACACATCGGCCCGGCAAGAACATCTCACTTGCAGACCTGTTGAGCCGCTCCCCCCTACCAGACCTGCAGGACGACCCGGCACCTACAACAACAACCCTGCACATTGAGACATTGCCCAACCCACCCCTGACTGTGTCAGACATTGCCAGAGAGACTAATAAAGACAAGCGGCTGGCGCAAGTCTTGGGCTGGGTGGAGAAAGGGTGCCGGAAGGTGACAGAAATGAACAATTTAAAACTTTCAGAAACTGGCAAACTGAACTCTTCACGCAGAAGGGTTGCATACTTTGGGGGGACAGGGTTGTGATCCCAGAGACTTTGCAAAGAAGGGTATTTTCTATGTTGCATGAGGGGCACCCGGGCATTGTCAAAATGAAAGCCCTGGCCAGGAGTTATGCCTGGTGGCCTGGGATGGACAAACAAATAGAGACTTGGGTAGCCACATGCAAAAGCTGCCAGGAATCCAGACCGAATCCCCCCACCACCCTGACACTGGAATGGGAAACTCCCAGGGGCCCTGGTCCAGAATTCACATAGATTTTGCTGGGCCTACCAAGGGACACACGTTCCTGATCACCATCGATGCTTATTCCAACTGGCTGGAGATAAGCACCATGAAAACCACAACCACGGAGGCCGTCATAAAAAAACTAAACAAACTTTTTACCACGCATGGGTTGCCAGATGTGCTAGTGTCAGACAACAGACCACAATTTATTTCGCTAGCATTCGAAAATGTTTTGGTAGAACGGGGTATATGGCATGCATTAACTGCGCCGGCTCATCCAGCGGCAAACAGGTGGGCGGAACGCATGGTCAGATTCATGAAAAACACCATACACAAGATCGAAACTGGCAACATACAAGAGAAAATAAATAAAATGCTTTTAATACAACACATTACACCCAGCACTACCACAAACAAAAGCCCAGCAGAATTGCTCATGGGCAGAAAACTAAGATCTGCATTAGACAGACTACACCCCACATATAACCCTGAGAAACCCCCAGACTCATCAAGCAAACACCAAACATTCAACATAGATACTGTCTACACCAAAAACTTTACAGGAGACCCACTCTGGGTACCGGCACAAATAACCCAGATAACGGGCCCCTGGTCTTACCGACTACAGATGAGCGACGGACGAAGCTGGAAGCGGCATATTGACCAGCTTAGGTCAAGAATAGCCACTGGCAGGACGCAAACACCGTCAACAGCAACTAGCAAAGAAACCAGAAGGGGAGGGGAAACTTCAAACCATAAGCAAAGAGAAGAAGAAAATCCTAAAGCACAAACAGAACACCCCCCCACCCAGAATAAACCAGCCCCAAACCATAATAAACCAGCCTTACTCACCGGTAGACGATGAACCCACAGCAGACGAACAACTAGAAGCTTCACCTGGAAGGAGCAGCCAAGCCAGTTCAACCAGCCCGGAAAGACCAGGCGGGAACGGCGGAATTGGCAACAACCAAACAGCAACTGAACCGCGCAGGTCAACTAGACAGATACGAAGCCCCACCTCCCTGCGCGACTACGTAACCACGTTCCATCGGATGAAACCAAGAGGGGAGGGGTGTTCTATATTAGCATACTCCAAACCCTGAAACCTGATTGGTCCACACGGACCGAAACCTGATTGGATAACTAAACGACCGTGATTGGTGCGCTAAAAATCCACCGCGATTGGCCGAGCCGATCGCGGGAGATTCAAAGCCCTGTCATTGGCCGCCGAGCTGCGAGCAGTTCCTATATGAAGGGCTGCTGCGGATCGCAGGTCTTGAACAGAACTGTATACTGAATAAAGAGCTGAATGTTTACTTTTGGTCTCACGTCTCTGTGGGGACCAATCTACCCGATCTAACACCATCTACCTATAAAACCAAAGGATAAAGGGGAAGAAGGAGGAGGAGGAGGCGGGGAGCAGATCAACCTGCAATCCTGTAAATCCCAAAGCTAGTGCCCCTTAAAAGAGAAGACCCCTAGAAAGCACATACACACCATCCCTTTCTCAGCAGCACAGCTAAAAAGACATGGTGGAGCATAGCCTGCCAAGTAGTACCAGGAGAATGATATGAGCTTGCACAGATGAGCCAAATTGCCTCTTCTGAGCCCAGAAAATTCCTGTTGACAAGCCAAGGAATGCAGTTTGTGGGCTTGCACATTTTAGAAACCCCATGCCACCCTCAGGGTTGTTTCAAATCATGATGGAGCTGTTTTGTTCTGGTAACAAAGCTGCTGCTGAGCCCAATGTATGTACCCCCCCCAACACTATCAAAGTGGATGCCTGGATTCTATGCTGCAATGTAGAAACGGGAAATGGAGCCCAGCACGAGGAAAGGAAAAGGAGCAGGGAGAAGAAAAGGAAAGTGGCTTCCTCCTTACCTCATACCGGCCACTCCACTGCCCGTTTCACCATTGCAGTGCTGTGCCATGGAGCTTTCCCCACCCACCAACATCCAGATGCCGTCGCTTCTCCCAAGCATTTCTTTGCCTATCTGATTTCCATCTCCATTGCATTTCTTGCCATCATGTGCAGGGAAAGAAAAGTTTATGTGGGGCTAAAAAAAAAATTCAGTCAATCAATTCCAACTTTGCACGATCTTTTTCTTTCGCAAGAAGTTGGAACTGATTGATTGAACTTTTTTTTAGTCCTACACAAACTTTCTTTTCCCTGCACATGATGGTGACAAACACGAAGGAGCTGAAAATCAGGTAGGCAAATAAATCCTTGGGGAATTTGTTCTCCCAGCCAGTGCATCTATGCAGCTTCCCGGGCAGGGAGAGAACCTTATCTTGTAAGTGATTGACAAATAAAAATAAATAAATAAAACAAAAATAAATAAATTCTCCCAGCGAGCGCAACCATGCAGCTCCCTGGCCAGGGGAAGAACGCTCTCCCAGCCAGTACAGCCATGCAGCTTCTCAGCTGCAATTCAGAGGCAAGCAGGAAGCTCTGATAAGCCTAGGAAGCATTGGGAACAGTGGGAAACTCCAGAAAGGGGCAGGAAGCAGCAGGAAGCACCAGAAAGCATGGTAAGTGGTGCTGCAGGCCGGGCACAGTGGGGGGGCAGCTAGCTAGCAAGGCCATGAGCACTGCATATGATGGAGCCATGGCGCTGGCAGTGAAGCAAGTTAGCTAAGCCTGGGGATGGTGGTGGGGCAGCACAGAGGCTTAGGCTGGCCAGGGAGTCAACTCAACGGGGCCTGTGGTGGCGGTGGCAGCCTAAGCCAGGTCGGGAATCAACTCGACTGGGGTTTGCTCATAGGCTCACTCACCCAGGGAGATCAGGGCAGTTAGCAATGGTGGGTGAGATGAGGAATGACAGAGTGGGGTGAGCAGGTGGGGGGCGGGGAGGGGTGGAGCCATCCAGAATTTTTACCACTGGTTTGCCTGAACTAGCTGAATCCCACCACTGCTGTTTTCCCATAGCTATACCTGCCAGTTTGTTAAGTGAGAGATGTGATTTCAGAGTAATTTCTCAGGCTAGAGCTTTTGAAACTCCAGGCTTGAGATATGGCTTGTGATACAAACATTAAAATGGCCAATTAAAGTCAAAAAGTGTAAAAAATAATTGGTCAATTAAAGAAAGATAGGAAATAAATGAAATAAGAACTAAAAGCTGAAATCTTAAAAGAGACAGAAAAAAACCCCTCCATTTGGATCTTCCTAATATCATATTGACATGTTAGTCCTTCTTACACTGCAAAATTAAACAAGGTCAGCCCTGGAAATGGTTTTCCACCAGGCTGCTTTAGGTTTGTAAACTAGATTGAGAAATTGAAAAAAATACGCTGAAAAAAAGAGAGTCACAAATCATTTCAGTACTGCTGTCAAGAAAGTTACGTGGATGTGAAGTCACAAGAAGGCTCAATTTGAAGATTACATTTTGTAGATTACAGATTATTATTAGTTTGCATAGATCAAAAAAAAAAAAAAAACCCTTAGCAGATAAATAGGGAATACTGCTTGTTTTTCTTCATAAGAGCTGTAATGTTTTCATGGCTTTCTGGAGACTTTTTTTCCAGAAGGGTTTTAGGTGTTAACTGTATAGGCATAGGATGTATGTGTGTGTGTATTTATGTCTATTTATAGGTGTATATATATTTAGTCCTATTTTTATATTCTTCAGTGTTATTTTAATAATATTTATTGTTTTAATAGCAATTCATTAAAATTATTTAGGCCTCAGAATAAAAAATAAATTATTATTATATGTATTGACATGAAATTATTTTACAGAACACGCACTTCAAGAATTGGTTGAGGCAAAAAACCACTTGACTACAGATTTAAAGGCAACTATACATGATATTCAGAAGGCAGAACGTGCTCATTTTGAACGACCTAGTGGTATGACTAAAAATTGTAAACTTTTTTTTTACAATAATACTACTTTATCACCATCTTTATTATAATATTATTTAGAAGAAGGGTTAAGTCAAGCACCTTTCTCTGTTCTTGGATGAATGGATTATAGCCATTTGGAACAATGGCTTAAGGTATATTGTTTAATGATTTATCAAATGAGTTAAGTTTGTGTTAGAACTGATCATTTATTAGGAAATTCTTTTTCTTACTAATCATAAAAAATCAAATCAATTTCTGTCATTCCCTCCCTTCTGTAGTATAGTTAGTTATAAACCAATTAAGCTGGGTCATTCTAGATTCTAGTATCCTCTTCCTCACATCTTTTTATGGCAATGTTTACTTATAAAAGAGAATATACATTCCCAGCTCACTGTACAGATAATCCTCAATTTTCAACAGTTTGTTTAGTGATTGTTTAAAGTTACAACAGCACTGAAAAAAAGTGGCTTATGAATGTTTTTCACACTTATAAATGTTGCAACATCTTTTTGCGACCTTTTGTCAATCAGATTCACCTAATAACCATATTACTAACTTAACTAGTTGCATTCACTTAACAACTGTTGCAAGAAAGGTAATAAAATGGGACAAAATGCAATTAATAAATGTTGCAAGAAAGGTAATAAAATGGGACAAAATGCACTTAATAAATGCCTCACTTAGCAACAGAAATTTTGTGCTCAATTGTAAGAAATAAGTTGAGGACTATCTGTATTATTTTTATACTTTATACATTTCTTTTATATATATTGAAGTGTTTGGTATTTTAAAAATTAAAATAATAATAATAAAGAACTTCTACAGTCATCAAACTCATCATGCTGCAATCATGATTATACATTATGGATGCCCTATATATTCTCTCTCCTGTTCAGAAGCATCCTACAAATGCATTTTAATTTCTATTTCTAAAGCACTTCAAGCTGTTAACTTATATCTTTAATATTTTTTGTATTTATAATTTATTTTGAAATTGGAGGCTCTCATAGAAAATTTATATTTTAAGGCTGTTTGACACTACAATGCATATTTGATATGAGGAAGAATATGCAGTTTTGCAGAATTAAAGTTTGACAGCCAATCTGAGTCCCATTCTTTATTTAAAATAAACTTTTAAAAATGTCATTATTCATTTCACTTCATCAACTCTGTTATATTTTTACAAGCACGTTTCAATTCCTAATCTTCCTTTGGAAATATACTAAAAACTGCATTTCTAGCATAAAATGAATTGTTGGAATAATGAGCCTGTCTTTTCCATAAAAGTTTGGGTTTTGTCCCCCATGTAGATGGCTAACTATCATAGGTGGCAATTAAAAGAATAATTGATGTATACCCCAACCACATACAAAATTCAACCAATTTGAATTTTTCAAAATTAAAAACAAATGTTTTTGAATTAAGTTTTTTTAAAAAATAAAATGAGTGTTTCTATTTCTATTTCCTAAAAACCAGTTTGGTGTAATAGTTAAGGCACAAAACTGAAAAGCAGCAGACAAAAAATTATATTCTGTCGTAGTCATGAAAGCTGACTGGATGACTTTGGGCCAGGCACTCTCTTTCAGTCCAACTCACTTCACAGGGTTGTTGTGGGGAAAATAGAAGGAAGAAGATGTGTTGGATATGTTCGCCACCTTGAGTTATTTGTAAAAATAATAAAGATGGGATACAAACCAGTGAAATAAAAATTAAAAATGCATTTTACCCACACAAAACTAGTGAGAGCAAATTCAAGCAGATTTGAAGTCATTATTTCTTTGTTGTGGTGAGAATTGTCATTTTACACCTTTGGTTTGCCACCCTATTTATTTAATTTCTATGTTGTTAGGCATGGGCAGAGGGGGTTGTGCTACAGAGAGATCTGCAGAATATATTCTAAGTCTGCCTTGAAAAAGTTACTATTATAGTATATTAGTATTTTATTGACCAAGGGTATTAATAATCCAAAATCATTTCATTTAATTTGTTTTGTTTTATTGAATGGTATCTACAATAATACCATCATATGAAATAATCCAGCTTTTAAAAATAAGTGTTGTTATGTGATTTTATAAATAATGAGAATATTTTTAAATACTTTTAAAGAAATAATTCAAAAAGAGAGATCACTGAATCACTTACTTAAAAAAAGGGAGTTACTACAGAAACGTTTGGATTCTAACTGGACAGAATTAGAAGATGCTCAGGCTCTTGTAGTGGCCAAACCTGGATATATCAATGGTAGGTAAACTGTAATTTTTGATATTTGTAATGCTAGATATAGCAACAGCACTTAGACTTATATGCCACTTTACAGTGCTTTATAGCCTCTCTAAGTGGTTTACAGAATCAGCATATTTCCCCCACAGTCTGGGACCTCACTTTACCCACCTCGGAAGGATGGAAGGCTGAGTCAACCTTGAGCCTGGTGAAATTCAAACTGCCAAACTGCAGGCAGCTAGCAGTCAGCAGAAGTAGCCTTCAAATACTGCACTCTAACCACTGAGCCACCATGGCTCATATATATAAAGTTTGAAGTAAGTTTCCTTGCCTCAGTTGAATTTATAATTAAGATGAAACACTATTTGCTGAGCTGTAAGTAAGACTTTTCAAATTTTCTGTCCCTCATGGAAAGAAAGGAGAAAGAAAAAAATTTACTTTAGACTTTATTCATAGTAGCTGGTATAACCAGGCTGAGGCTTATACCTTTCCAGCTCTTCTGTGACTTGGTTAAATGGAAGTATTTAAACATCTTCATTCTAATTGTAAACTGTAACAGTTTGTTGTACTGTTAAAATAATGTTTAATCATATATATGATAAATGAAAGAAGCCAATGTTAATTCATATTTAATAAAGTAATAGAGTTTTATCAATTTTAATTAAAATTAACAACAGTGTTAATGATATCCATTCCCTTAAAATTAAATTATGATTAAATACAGAAATAGGGTTTACTTATTTTACAAAACATTGTATTTATTTAATATTTATTTAATTAATTGTTATAACTCATTTAATTAATTTATATAACTCATCTCATAAGCAAATTACTCTGGGAAATGGGCAACAAAACTAAAATGACAAATATCTAAAATCACTATTATTAACTAATATTAAAAACTATAAGTGTCACAGCTAAATATTTGTGATAGGCTACATACCAATTGTATGCATTATATTATTAATAGGGCAAATATATCAGCAATTTTTAAATGAATTGACCTAATTATTTTTACAGAGCATAAACTACAAGTATTATCTGATGAAAGAAGCAATTTGTCTAAAGAGCTAAAGAAAGTTTTTCAGGAGATATTAGTATTGCAGCAAGGTGCTCCAGAGAAATTTCCAGATAGACATTATGGAGGTAAGTTAACAAAAAGAATATATATAAAACCTTTTTTCTAAGCAGTTATAAATTCCATTAGAATGGCATTCTTTATTAAAAACAAAATAAATTCAATTATGTCTGAAAAAGTAGTTTCAATTTTTGTCATAAAAATAAAATAAAATGCTATAATCAATTAATTTACATGATATTATAAGCCAAGGTGAACGCAATGGTTAGAGTACAGTACTGTAGGCTACTTCTGCTGACTGCCAGCTGCCTGCAATTTGGCAGTTCAAATCTTGCCAGACTCAAAGTTGACTCAGCCTTCCATCCTTCCGAGGTGGGTAAAATGAGGACCCAAACTGTTGGGGCAATATGCTGACTCTGTAAACCACTTAGAGAAGGCTGTAAAGCACTCTGAAGTGGTATGTAAATCTAAGAACTATTGCTATTGCTATAAAGCTATTTAGTAGGTGTTTCTCAAACTTTTATTTTGAAATATGGCAATATATATTTAATATGTAAGGTTTTAAATTTTATTGTTTATTTCATACTGATCAAGAGATCAGAATGAATACTGTTTTTCATATGGTATTAAAGAATTTTGTTCCTTATCAGGAAAGTTTCTTGGGTTCTTGTAGGAACATAATTCAAATTTCACAGAAAATTCTAAATGCTTTGTGGCATATTATTTTTCCTACTTTGTTTCTTTGCACTTAAAAATTAACTGTATTAATAGACAAATTATTTATAAATTATATAAAGTTATCCATATTAAAATGTTTTTTCTTTTAAACTTTCTGACCAATGAGAGGCTTCTTAACTTTAAAAAGATAATTTTTCTTTTTCTTTTTTTGTAGAAAAAGAATTATATACATTATCTAAGAAGAAACAACTGTTATTGGAAAATTTAAAAAGTTTACAAGAAGCTCAAGCTCTTGCAGCGGCCCAACCTGGCGGTTTGGATGGTATGTTTGGGTGATTTCTCATACTTTCAGCTATAATATTAATTTTGTGTACCTTGAATTAAGGTGCTTCATTTATTAGGCAAACTGAGAATTTCTATAGAAAATTATTCCTGCTTTAATACTTATATAAGTAGGACAAGCAGCAAACTGTTAGTTTGGAGTTTCTTACGAAAGCAATTGCAAAAGAAGCTTTAACATTGGTAATATATAATTTCATTTTTTAAAATATATTTTACTTTTGCTGGATATTACCAATAATTTGTTATTTTTACTTACTATCTACTGCAGATATTCTTATATGATCCTTTAGCTGTATAGTAATACTTTTTTCAAGAGACACCTGAATTTAATGAAAAGAATATGTATAGTTTCATTTCATATATTTAATAATGACATTTTCTTCCAGAACTTTGAATACTAGAATTTAAATTGCTTAGAAAAAATAGAATTCTGAGAGATTCCTTGATAGAAATATCAGGCAGTAAAGCTTAAGTTCCTGAAACCTGCTTTCCAATTTAATACTGTTCCTCCAGTTATTACTCTAATGTCTGTGGCTTGAAAGATCCATAACTGAAATCAGGAATATGAATGGATTACACATACGTTTTCTCTTAAAATAGGGCATAAATCAGTCTTAATATAGGTTTAAAATATATTTAGAAACCAAAAGTCAACTGAATTAATAGAATATAACAGAACAGAATACTTCGTTGGCCAAACATGATTGGACATAGAAGGAATTTGTCTCTGGTGCAGAAGCTCTCAATGTGCATATAAACAACAAAGTAATATAACCATAAGATAAGAGAAGGTAATAGAAAAAATGAGAAAGATAACAATAATACAGGCATACAACATAACTATTGCATAGCATATTAGTTTGTATTTGGTTGTACAGACTTTTTGGTAAATTTTCTTTGTTGAATTATTATTTCAAAATATGGTTAAGATCCTGGTTTCTAACCTTTAATTTGTTTAATAGTGCCAACTTGGATATTAAGACAAAGAACACAGATTATACACTTTAACTCAGTTCTTTGTAAGAAGTTGTGTGAAATGCTCATTAAAATGTAAACAATTGAGATTATATTGAATACTGATTGCAAAATTGTACAGTAATTTTATTCATTTAATAATTTGTTATGAATTGATCTAAAATGTTTTTGTAGAAGATAAACAAAAGCAGTTAAATGAGCAAAGAAAACAGTTAACTACAGAGTTGGAGACAATAGTAAAGAATATTCAAAGAGTGGAACATAGTACTTCAGAAATACGTCTAGATATAAGAGCCAGCGGTAAGCAAATAAAATGTTGTATTCAAAGCTATCTCAATAGAAAGAACAGGAAGTTGGGGGAAAATAAAGCTTTATACTAACTCATGATCAGCCTTTTCCCTGGTATCAGCTTTGTTTGTGTTTAATTCAGTGGCTTTTTTGGACTTCAAAGATTTGCTTGGGATGAATGTTATTCCCACCATTGAACTAAAAATTCAGTAAAGCAGAATTCAACATCAGCTCTAGACAAATTTATAGGAAGTATATGAGATTTCATCTCTCTGCCAGTTTCTCCATATTTGAATCTTGCTTGTTTTTAAATTTAATTATGCTTGAAGCCCTTGGAAAATATTGTATTAGATCATAGGTCAAATCTTTTCAAATATTAAGGTAAAGGTTCCCCTTGCACACACATGCTAATTGTTTCTAGGGTCTAGGGGTCGGTGCTCATTTCTGTTACAAAGCTGTCCGAAGACATCTCCATGATCATGTGGCTGGCATGATTAAACCCCAAAGGCACACGGAACGCTGTTACCTTCCCACCAAAGTAGTCCCTATTTATCTACTTGCATTTTAACATGCTTTTGAACTGCTAGATTAGCAGAAGCAAGTAACGGGACAAGTAACAGGAACTCACTCCATTACACGGTGCTAGGGATTCGAACTGCCAAATTGCCAATCGACAAGCTCAGTGTCTTAGCCACTGAGCCACCATGTCCCTTTTCAAGCATTATCATGATAGAAATCCTCTGATCTATTATTTCTGTGCCAGTGATTGAATTCAAACCTTATACTGCTGAGGGGAAAAAACAAAAAACTTAATTCTTGTAAAAAAAAAGAATGTGATTTTACTGGGTTCTTTATACTGTTCGTTGGTATAGTATTCTTGTATTTGTTTGTAGGAAACCCCATTTAGCAAAAGCACTGTCTTCATGTCCTTCCTAAAGGATTTACAGTGTACTTATAAATCATTCTGAGTAATATCAGAAAGAAGCTTGCCAGCCGAGTAACCTAGGGCAAAGTGGCTAACTCAAATTTATCTGAAACCAGTAAAGGAGTCATTATCATCTTTATGATTCAGAAAACCTCATATAGGCTGTGCAGTATTATCTATGGGGATTGAATAATATGCTGCACTGACTAATACTGAAGACCCTGTGAAAACTTTCAAAATATGATTACAAGAACTGTAAGAGGTCCTGATACTCTTTTACATACAACCTAAAGAAAGTACAGTGGCTATCAATTAGTTTCTTGTCATAATTTGAAACACCTAAATGACTGCTACTGCCTAGGATTTATTGTTCAAGTTCTCTGTGTTCAGTAATGATAGTTGTATGTCTGATGAGAACATTCTATGAATATTTTGTGATGAGCTCAAAAAACTACATTTCTATTTTTTGTAGGTCAGTCAGTATTTTTATTTTAGCAAATTCCTATTTGATTTTAAAATCTGTCCTTCATATTTTCTATTGCCATTATTATTATTTTAATAATGCAAAATGTATTTGTGTTACAATAATTTAAAAGAATCTTACTTTATTATATATTCATTCATCTGTTAATTATTTTACATTATAATGATAAATGTGGCATTTGAAATTCCCATTAAGTAATTTATTTTTGAATAAATTTTTTCTTTTTTGGGAACAGTGATTTCTTATTTAAAAATCCCTTAATTTTGCAGAGAAAGATCTACATGAATTGTTAGAGAAGAAGTTTGCAATACTGGAAGATTTGGCATTCAATCAAAAAGAGATGCAGGAAGTTCAAGTTCTTGCAGCTGTCCAGCCAGACACTATCACTGGTATGCTTTCTGGGTTTTTTTCTATCCATGATAACTGTAATCTGAAATTTATAAATTGTCCACTTGATCGATACTAGACAAATTTTGTTGATTTTTTTTGGCATTCTTATTTAGATAGCTTTTTTACATTAAACCACATCAATATTAATTAATGTTTGTATTCAAATAATGCTGATTTTAAATTGTTAATTTGTTCAAAGTAGTAATAATTATGAATAAATAATTGTAAGTAAAAATTACTTACAATTAATGAAAAATAAACAAAAAATTGGACATATGAAAAAAAATAATTACAACAAAAAAACCTATTAGTAATAAAAAATTAAAATTAGCAAAGTGATCAGTGAAAGTGGTACATTGAGATTATAGCTTTAGGATGACAAGGAGAATGAATGGGTAAGCCAATATCATTGCAAAAAAATATTTCTTTAATAATAAAAGGAAATACACCTGCTTCCACCACACTTCCACGTAGAAAGCAGACTCACACCCACACAGAAGATGAGACACGACCATGGACCAGAAGCTGCACCGCAGCTGCATCACTACCCACTTCAAACCCCTCCAACCCATACATGAAGCGAACTGACGCCCACCATGAAGATGCGGCACTACCACAAACGCGAAGCCAAACAGCAGGATCACAGCTCACCAGCTCAAATCCCCCAGCAACTAAGACTAACCTGAGCACAACTAAACCCCCACCTGAACAGAACACACTCCCAGCCAATCAGAGCACAGCCAGGCCCCCAACCAATGAGAACACCCCCCCCACCCAATCAGAACACAGCCAAGCCCCCACCCAATCAAGTCACACCCCCACTAGCAGTTAAAAGGAAGAAGCAGCTGCAAGCTCACATTACTTTGAGAAGCACAGAGCCGAAGACACAAGTGTGTGGCAGCTGGTGATGCAGCCGTGGTCTGGTTTCTGGATGGTGGTTGTCTTGTGTATATATAGGGAGACGGCAGCTTCGATCATGGTTTGCTTGCATAAGTACGAATCCGAAAGCACCAGCCTGAAAATGGCGAGTGGGACCTCATCAAAATGTTGCCAAGATACTCTCAATCTTACACAGGAACAGACCTGAACACGCCAAGACCTGCATACCTGTACCTGTGAAAATCGACGAAAACAAATATATATATATATATATATATATATATATATATATGTTTTCTTAATTTTTCATGGGTATCTATATGTATGGTATTCAGTTTGTTTGGGTATTTTCCTGTGTCATTATAGTTGTGCTTTTAAAGTTGTAATGACATTTCGGCAGAATCTCATCTGCCATCATCAGGCTTTTATATTGCAATGAGCTGTGGTTTTCATGTGTTGGACTAGTGAGGAAAGCTGGAACACACTTCCTCACTAGTCCAACACAGGTCATAGCATCAACTTCAATGACACCAAAACCCTAGCCACTATAGAAATCCCAGCTACAGAATTATCAGAGAAGCCATAGAGATTGAAAAAAGACCTGAAAGCATGAATAGAAGAGATTACTCCACCATACTGTCAATTATCTGGAAGCCTGCACTCTCAAACAAAAAAATCTCCACACCACAAGCCAAGCAAACACCTGGGCATAAACAGCCCCCCCCCCCCGCTCAAACACACCCCAACTAGGCACCCAGATGTATGTATGTATGTATATATATGTTTTCTTAAGTTTTTGCGGGTACTTACATGTATGGCATTCAGCTTTGTTCGGGTATGATGGCAGATGAGATTCTGCTGAAACGTTGCTACAACTTTAAAACCACAACTACTATGACGTGGTGCTATACACACACACACACACACACACACACACACACACATATATGTATATGTATGTATGTATGTGTATATATATATATATACATATATATATATATATATATATATATATATCCTCTCCCCGCGACTAGATTATTTATATAAACTATATATATCTAGTCTACCAACATGGACTATTTAATTATAAATACTCAGTACAATATGAACTTAATATAGACTGTTGTATGAGTTACTGCTTTATTGTATGAAACAATATAAATGAAGTAGTCTATAATTTAATCGTATGTACATCGAATACATACATATAACATATATGTATACAATAGATTATCCACAATATAAATGAACTGCAGCATTTTATTTAACATAATAGTTAAATATAACTATATTAGTAATATTCAGAATTTTAGTATTACGTTTTAGTATATAGATTGTATTTATTTTGTAGATTATAAACTGAAAGACCTCACTACGAAAAATAGGTATTTGACTGAATATCTAGAAAAAACTGTACAAGAAATACACGAAATATCAGAAAAAAAATCAGAAACAATTATTATTACAAGACCCAGTGGCAAGTAGAGAACATATTATTTAGATTTTGTAAGAAATATGTTTAGTTTAATAAGTAAAATGTTTGCTAAAGGTAATGTAAAGGAGTGGAGAAATTTAAGATGTACAAATGCTAGTCGAAAGATAGAAATATACTGTACTTCGTTAGTTTTCATTATTTAATCATGTCCTACTCTTGATGATTTTATAGGCAAGTGTTCCCCATGCTATCCTATCAAACATAGCTTTTTTCAATTGTATGCTCAACTTTGCATCAGGTTTGATGTTATCAATCCAGAGTGTTCTTTTTTGCCACTCCTTCTTTGTCCAATAAGCAGTCCTAGCATCATTGTCTTCTCCAATGAACTTGCATGCCTAATATGGCCAAAGTAAATCAGATGTAGTCTTATGCTTTTAGCTTCCAGCGATGCAACTGCTTTCATATGATTTAACATCTTCTCTTTAGCTACTTTGGCTGGAACTATATATACATATAAAATTTGGATTTATTACATATATATAAAATTTGAGTATAGGTAACATATGTTCTGTAGCAAAACTTCATTTGTCAGATGAAGCAAACAATTCAGTAAAGAATGCTTATGGCCACTTTATTAGATGGAAGACGTTCCTTATATATTTTTCTAGAAATATATTAAAGAGCAAAGGAGATATTGCATATCCTTGTTTTAATCCCTGTTCAAAGTAGGACCATTTGTTAATTATTCTAAGAGCCAATTTCGCTTAGTAATTAAGAAATCTGGCTAAAAAGTGGGAAATTGTGAGTTTGTCATGTTGAAAGATATGAAAGCTGGATGGGAGCTTCTAATCAATCTCTTGCATCAATCTTCAAGCTTCCGTTAAGCTTCCATCAATTTCTTCTTAGCGCAACCTATCTCACAGGGATATTATTGAGGGGAAAATAGAAGAAGAGAAAAGTATTCAGTATGTTCACAATCTTGATTTATTTATAAAAATAATAAAGATGGCATATAAATAAGTAAGTAAATAAATTAACAAGCTTTTCTTCCAAATTATACCTCTCTTACCGCATTCAGTCTTTACTTACAACTTGTACAAAGATTCCATAATTATTCACTTTATCGTATGCTTCCTTGTCAATAAATGTACAGTATACTAACTTTCTCACATTCAAATATTCAACTTCTTATTGGTACAGCTTATATCAAGCAGAAACTCATATTGTACTCAAATTTTGCGCATAATTACCTCTCATATTCCTTCAATTAGATTTCTATTAAACATTTTCCTTAACAATTTTTGTTACCCTTTTGCAAATTGCATAAATAATCAAATGAAGTGATATTGATGATGATAGCGATGAAGTTACTATTGTTATTGTCTCACAGTTTCCTCCTATTGAAAAAAAGGATCGTCTGTAATGAATTTTCAAGACTTACTACATACAAAAAGATACCTTCAAATCTACATCAATTTCAGAAGTTATTATCTGTTAAAGACTGACTTTGAAATCTAATCATCTCATTATTTAGTCATTTTCTGGAAATGATGACTTTCACATTTTGGGATGTGAAATTCTGTATTAAGAATTGTCTTCTAATAGTTTCTCCCAAAGACAAATTACTCTACATATGACTGTCCATTGAGAATATATTTATCATATGTTATTTTTTGCTTTTTTTTAACCCATCAGTGCTGCTTTAACACATGCCAGTAATGATAGGTTTACATGCAGTAGTAAGAGCAAGAGTACTTAGATATATATATGGCTTCATAGTGCTTTACAGTCCTCTGTAAGTCAGCAGTATGATGACCAATGGTAGAACACTATGATTCAGTATGATGACCAGTGATAGAACACTGGAAAATAAAGCCTATGAAGTGAAAAAAGATAACATCAATCTTTTTTTTCAAAAAGTTCTTTATTTTTTAAATTTTATACATCTTTTCATGTGAGCAACGTGTTTGCAGATTATAACACTTGTATATAGTCACTCTTTCATTTCCATTAATCTTATATAATATTAACTCATATTATTATCCATTTCACTCATCTTTAAATAAATTTACATTTTATATTTCAGTTCATAGATTCGGTATCAATATCATTCCATCCATACATAAGTTTTCAAACCTTTATCCCCTATTATTTCCATTTTCAGCTTACCACCTATTTTATTTTACACTACTCATCATTATTATCCTTAGTTTTCTCTAAGCCGATATATAATAAATGATCTGAGAAGAGTAAAAATATAATAAAACCAATATATTTAGGATCCATATGGCATTTTCCATTCCCCTACTTTAATCATAATAAAATATTCTCATTATATAATCCTAATATCCATTAAATAATCAACTGTATATGTTGTCAACTGTATATATTCTCTCCATTAAATCACTAAACTAACTTCTTAATATCTCTCATTTTATCTTCACTTCATTTATAATCATTAATAATCATATTTTTTTAATTCATTTAATTCCCTTGTTTTAATCCTCCAAAAAGGAAAAGGGTTCATAACAACACATTTTATATGCAGTTCATATTCATATATATACACATTCCTAAAATATTTCCCAGTAAGTTTTAAGCTAAACACCAATATATATTCCATGTGGTATCCCCCTTATAGAATCCCTAACACTTATCTCTAAATTTTTCGGCTTTATTGTTTCTTTCAATTTTAGCAACTTTCCCTTTTCTAAATTTCCCTGGTCTTCCTTCTTTACTTCTAACATTTCACACATCTTCTCTGCCCCCCCCACCCCACTTCCTGTTCTCTTTTTTGAAATTTCTTCTTGTATAGTTTCTTCTTCTTCTGTTTAATCCTATGAGCGTTTTCTCTTTTATTTATTGACTCTATCATCAATATCATAGTTTTAATTCCTTTAGTGTCTTTTGGCAATGTCTCTTGTTCTCCATGTCTATCTGAGTCTCTTTCTTCTTCCTTTGATTCCGCCTCACTGGAATTGCTTTGTTCTTCTGCCATCGCCATTATTTTCTTTTCCAGTATTTCCAGTAATTCCCTTCTTTCTTTCAACATTCCTTTTACCATTTGTAGTTCCAACTTAACATCTTTGCTTATTTCTTCCATTTTTAAAATCAGTTAAATTATTAATATTCAAAGTCTTTTATTGCAATCCTTGCCAAAAGTCTCCTTTTATCTTTGTTTCTTTTGTTAATCCTTCTGTCTCTTTATCACATTCAACACCCAACAGTCCCAGGGAATTGCATTTGTATACCCTCCTGGCGGAATTTCTCTCCCTTATTTCTAAATTTCTGGGGTTATTATTTTATTTGTCTTTTATTTCATAACAGTTATAAGTCCAGTAAATTTCTATATAATTTTGCAGGGAAAAAAAGTCTTTAACCATTAGATGGTGGTCTGTATCACTTTCCACTTTTCGAAGTTCTTTTCTCTTTTAATTATATTAGACATTAATTTCCAATCATTTCCATGATTAATTTTCTTAATATTAACCAATTCCAAGCAGGTCCATCATTTAATCCAATGCCTAATTAATGCCAATTTATATTATTCAAGTTTAGTATCTAATTTCATTATAGCTTTTTATGCGCCAATTTTGTTTACCTTGTATTTTCCTCTTATTTTCTGTTCACCACTGTGCTACTCTTATGCGTGGGCACTTTCTTTTTACTTCTCGGGGTTGTTGAGAAAAAAATCAAGTTCTTTTATCTGGTTACATGTCACTTACCACTTCACCGCTCCAGCACAAAACTTTTTGTCTTCAGGGAAGCCATTTTAGACTGCCGTTTTTCCCTCTCTTCCAGGGGAGTAATACCTAGCCAGGGAGGTGAGATGCGGTTCCCCTCAACCCAGCTGGCGGTCTCCTCCTCTTCACCCACCCGTCTGAGGTGGGTCAGGATGACACCGGTCCCTTTAGGACCCTTCCGACAAGGGAAACACGGATCAGAGCAACGCACGATCGCGGTCTCTGAACCGTTGTTGATGGAAGCACCACCGGAAGTCGATAAGAGCAATCTTATAGAGGCTACTCTAGGAAAACTATTCAATAATTTGTCTTCAAAAGTAAACATGTTTGAATTAAATGTGAATGAAACAAAAAAATGCTTTATGAAGGCTCTGCTCCATTTAAAAGATCACCTACATTTATTGCAAAATTGTAATTATAGATCAGAACTGAAAAAAGGGAATTTGGGAAAAAAACTGTGGTGTTTTAAATCTGGCCAACTGGATGTTCCATAGAAATTGAATAAACAAAGTATGTTTTGTCTAAGAATGCAGTGATGGTGGCACTGTTATTTGACAGATTCTTTGTTACATGTTGTGGCTGCACCTGAGGGGAAATTCCTTCTGTTCCATTTGTTTTCATGCTGCATACTCTGCACTACCAAATCAGTTTTATTGAACATTGGTGACATTAGAACAATGATGGCCATAACAACAGCATGATTCTAAATAACATAATTTCAAAACTGTGAGCAGATACAGTTTTAATAAATAAGGTTCTGTCTTTAAGAACTGTAGATAATTTGGTTACCGTAATGCTAATTCTGGTAATATGTAATTATGAAGACATAGAAAAGGGGGTGGTGGTTGTACTCTCTTTTTGAATAATTGTATTATTATTTGCTTTCCATGGGACATACATTGATAAAGTAATATGTAATCTCTTATGGATCTTGGCAGGTAATGATACATTTCACATTCTATGGTCTGCTTTGGGTTTTTTAAAAAATATTATTTCCTTAAGTAGAAAAATCAATTATTTATTGTGATACAATATAATAAATACTAAGGACATTTTAAGCTATTTTTTTCAGTTGCTCATTATAAAATTGTTTTTTTTTCAGAAGAAGAATTATGTGCACTATCTGAGAAGAAAGAACACTTGCTAGAAAATCTGGAATCTAAGGAGAAAGAATTAAGAGAAGCTGAAACTCTTGAAATTAGTCAACCAGGCACTGTCAGTGGTATGTATGTAGTGTTTCTCACGCTTTCATCATTTATAAATAAAAATTGTTTGTCAGATATATTGCATTGTGTCTTTTGCTGTAAACTGCTTGGAGTCAGGAGGATTAAAGCAGTATGAATAATAGTAGTAGTAGTATATATTGCAGCAAGCAGATTTACTCAGAACAGCAAACATCCTACTCTAAGCTCTAATATCAAATAGCAGCATCTGACTATCCCAGTCCTTAGAAAGGACTTGATACAGGGGTGGGATCCGACTGGCATGGGGAGCGTGCACATGTGTGTCAAACACGCGCTGCATGTGCATGCGCACTACTGGTTCCAGCAAGCATTTACCTTCTCCAGCTGAGAAGCGGCACTCAGCTGTGTCGCGCAAAGCAGCTGAGGAGGAAAACACAGCCACTAAAGGACAGTCTAGAGCCCAGGCGGGTGGGTGGGCCAACCAGCAGACCAAAACCTTGTCCCAGCGAACCGGTTCAGTGTCAGCTGCTCTTCGGAGCTACCAGTTCTATAGAACCGATCGAACCAGTAGAATCTCACCCCGACATGATATTTAGCTAAAAAATGCCAAATTCAGTCTGGTGACTGTGTGACAATACGTAAGATTACATTATACATTATCAAAACTTCAGAAATTTATTTTTTTCTGTCATTGTCATTGACCAATAAAAAATAAAATCAATAAAATGAACAGCTGTCCACTAACAAGAACTGTTAGCAACCATCTGTGGGCAAAGCTTACAAATAATATAGGCAAATTTTGCTACTTTTAGAGAAATAAGTTTAGTTTTGATATTTTTTTTTTAACAATTATCAGAGTTCCCCAGATATTTAAATAAAAGAGGTGTTATCAATGGGTGACAAACAGATATATAATGGAAATTAGGTACACCGATTTGAAACACAGTTTTGATGTTTTCTGGAGTAAGACAATTTACATTATTAGAGAAAAATATTCAGTGAGTGCAAACTAAATTAACAGACTTTAGTTGCAGCAATTATTATTTCAAAAATAATATTAATGGCTTTTATTTCCAGTCCATATTTAACTTTTGTTAGAAATTAGAAAATTGTGGAAGTAGCTTTTATTTCGTGGCTCATTTTCTTCTCTCATTTCTTGATCATTCAAATTTGATGTATAGAGTGGTATTTCACTCAGGTGAGACTGTATTATAAAATGGGCAATTATTTAAGATTGTAGTGTATACAAAAATGCTATGCCTTATCTTTAGTGGCAGTGCCCAATTAGTCACTGTTTTGATTAAACATTTTGAATGTAGAAAAAACCATCCCAAATCTTCTATAATGAATCTTGAGATTAGTTCAATGCCTATATTTCCTAATATATATAAATCAATCTAGCAACCAAGATGAAAAGGGAATTGGACGGAAAAAATGATTAGAAATATTTAGTTGTGTTGGATCTGTTTAGTTGGAAAAGATCGGAATGCAGAAAGAATAATAGTTGCCTTCAAGCAGACAAAATATTATCATGTAAAAAGTGGAGCAAAGTTGTTCAGAGGCTTTCAGCACAAGAAATAATGTACTGAAATCACAAATAAGTAGACTTCAGTTGGACATCATAAAAAAATTCTGATGATAAGGCTATCTATAGTGGTACATATTGCCTTAGTTATCTGTGAGAGATGCTGTCATAGTGGATTTGTAAACTGGGTGTAGCATTAGATTATATAATCTCCATAAGATTGCAACCGCTTGCATTCTATAATTCCAAATATTACAGAATAATAAAATCAGCACTTGATTTCTCAAAAATGCAGGAAATTCCTTACTGAGTATAAAAAATTAAGTACAAACAAAACGAAATAATAATTTTAAGATAATTGTACTAAAATAGCTGCAGGATTATTTGCTTCTTATCCAAAAACATAACTGAATAGGGGCTAATAAGCAAACAGATCTCACATCTTTTCTGATAATATCTTGAACTGCAGTACTTATATGAATGCCTGCAAAGATGACTGCTTGTTTTTAGATGGCTCAAAAGATGGAATTAGTCATTTTGGAAGCCAGAATTTTGAAAAGACATATCTGTTTATCAAAATATGTATTCTGTTGGTAATAACACCTTTACAAAAGTTTGAATATTAATATTTAATTGAACGGCTTCCACAGAGGTGGAATAAATGAATGAATCACTATTTACAGCTGTTGTCAAATTAGTTAGAAATGTAAAAATCAGATATGTATTCAGAAAGTATTATCTAAATCCATTTAGAATAAAATAGCTAAATAATATTGTATGCAGTTATACTTAAGATAATTATTGCAGAATATATATATTATTGTTTTTATTTGGCCTGAAATTATTTTTAGCACATAGACTACAAGAATTAAATGAGCAAAGAAGACATTTAAGTGTAGAACTAGAAGCAACTGTACATGATATACAAAAAATAGAAGATCATGTCTCAGAAGAAGCCTTAATGAGAAGATCTGAAGGTAAGTGGAAAATAAATGCCTATATATCGGCACCTGCATATTTTTCAATGGTGGCAGCATGGAATAAAGCAGTCACTCACTACTGTTCTGTATGCCACTCTAATTTGGTACTCAGATTCTCATCCAATAGGCTTGCTCCCTTCTGAAAAGGAGTCAACAGAAAAAAACCTCCTTTAAGCCATTGTTGCTTGATTGCAAAATATTTCGCAGATAAACTTACTTATATTGTTGATAACACCTTGCAAGGTGACTACATCTTGCAAGGTCACTTGGGATTCTGCTTTTCAGAAGTCAGTGCAACTGTTGGTACCATGAGTTTATTTAATTTAAACAAATGTAATCCCCCCCTCGCCCAAATAATGTAGAATCCTATAAGCAAGCTGGATTGAAATGGCTAGAATTACAAGAATTTCAGCAGTATTCCCTAATACAAATTATATATTTCTTAAAGTGGTAGGATGGTGTCTTTCATAAATTCTCTCTCGGGATTTGATATAGCAAAAAATACCTCTTATAGTTGCAGGGAATTGACTTGTGTAGGTATTACAAATAAAATTGTTGTGGAAGCCAAAGTTCATGAACATTACTTGCAATTTCTCAGGATTAATATAAGAGTAGTCTTTCAAGTGAATAAAATAGTCAATCTACCCCTTTTGTATCTAAAATTCAAAATAAGTTTGATCTTATTCTCTTCCCCAATAGAGACAGCTGATCGTTTCCTGATATTTTACATTCATTTGAAATTGGGTCATATTCCCTCTGAGGCAAGATACTTACGACTAGAGGGAGGGTGGTTCTCCTGGACTCAGGCTCCTTCTTGATCAGCAAATGGAGGGACTGGTTTGGATAGCTTTTGCCCAGCTTTTGTTGGTATGCCACTTGAAGCTTTGTCAGATTGGAAGGCCCTAATTGCAGAGATTCATGCTTTTATTACCACATGATTGGAGTACTATAATACCAGTGGTGTATTAACCATTAAGCAGACCAAGCACATGCTTAGGGCACCAGGCCCAAAGGGCACCAGGCCCCAAAACTTTTATGTAGCCTAAGCATGGCTTTGTTTGTACAGTGTGTACAAAGGAGGGGGGCACCAAGATTTGTCAGTGCTTAGGGCACCAATGAGAAAGCATGTTTTAGACAAACATGACCTGGATGATTGAGAATTTCCAACAGAGGAAGCCATTTTGAAATTGTGTTATTTTAGTTTTTAATTTCTTGTAATCAGCCTTGGTTTGATCAGATAGTGGTAAATATGCATAATAAAAATATGTGAGAAATCAAGTTTTTAATTACAGATTTTGATGATAAACATATGAAACCATTTTCAAAAATAACTCTAAAGCATTATTGTTTGTAGAAATAAAACTTCATAAATTACATGCATGGAAGAAGCTTTTATTAGAACATTTGGAATCAAATCTTGAACTACAAGAAGAAATCCAGGCTATGGAACCAGATAATACCACTGGTATATATGTGATAATTTATATTTTATTTATAATTAAAATATGAGAACATTCTTCTTGAAATCTGTTTGGTTCTATTGATATTATTTGGCAGTCTGTAAACTAAAGAAAATTGATATAGAAAAAAATATAGAATAACAGAGTTGGAAGGGTCCTTTGGGGTCTTCTAGTCCAACCCCCTGCTTAGACAGGAAACTCTATACCATTTCAGACAAATAGTTATCCAATCTCTTCTTTAAAACTTCCAGTGTTGGAGCATTTACAACTTCTGGAGGCAAGTTGATTAATTGTTCTAAGTCAGGAAATTTCTCCTTAGTTCTAAGTTGCTTCTCTGCTTGATTAGTTTCCACCCAGCTTTGGAGAATAGCTTGACCCCCTCTTCTTTGTGGCAGCCCCTGAGACTGTAACACTGCTATCATGTCACCCCTAGTCCTTCTTTTCATCAAACTAGACATATCTAATTCCAGCAACCATTCTTTATAAGTTTTAGCCTTCAGTCCCCTAATCATCTTTGTTACTCTTCTCTGCACTCTTTCTAGAGAAGATAACTTCTTCAGTTTATAATGTATATAAAATTCTTGTTTTCTGGGCATAGAAAATATCAAGTTTAATGCAATTTAATATAATCTTATTGTATATTTCCCTTAAAATTCCCTAGGTTATCAAATTCAGTTTAACATAATTCAAAACTTAGTTAAAACTTTTTTGTGTTTCATCTTTCAGTTAATCTATACAAGAATTATCTGCAGTGATAATTATTTTCAACATCTTAGATCACCGAATTGCCGTATGTTTATGAATAAAATTAATTCACTTATCTATAATTTATTCATTAAAATAAATATTAATGAAGCCCTCTCAATCAATAGAAATGGGATGAAGACAAGAAATGTTTAACTCCGATTTCATTGAAAATCAGGATAAAACTTTAAGAAAACTTGCACCAATCTAAAAAGGGAAAAAGCCCCCATTCCAATTTTTGTTGTTTCTTTCATTGAAGGATAGGGTTACTCTAAATAGTTCAAAAAATCCTAGAAATAGTAGAAAGGACTCCTTTTTTGTACCTTTGGCAACTGGCAGCATGGAACAGCAAAAATTCCAAACTTCCCTGCGTTATGTACCTCTCTATGTATGGTAGGCATTCCCAACAAAATATTTAATTAAAAGATTGATAGTACTACATGGTTATCTAGTTTAAGAGAGCGTTACCTTGAAGTAGCATACATGTGCCAATATTATTCCACAATTCATGCTGGTGGCTAAGAAAGGGTGTTACCAATATTGTCATCTTGTTTGCTTACCTTTTAGACTGTTTGACTGGATAATTGAAATAGGAGTTTTTGATGGGGTGGTGGTAGGGGAGTGATGTCATTAGCAAGCATAAGATTGATGAAAAAAAATGGTGAATCAGAACCAAGGAATTTCTCTCCTCTTGAAATTGCCACACGATTAATAATTCTTTAGTCTTCGATAAAACTGTTTCTCATTCATTAAAATGATTCATTTGAAATCTTGTAAGCTTTTTGCCTATTGAGAATAGACATTTGCTTTCTTTTAACTCCCATAAGAGGTCAATTGACTAAAATGTCATATTTCACCTAGAACACCAGTTGATTTGCTCCCTAATTAGTCCTGATTCTTTGTTAAGTCTGGAGAATGCTCTGTATATTCTGAATTCCCATGAATGGTGGTATTTTTTTTCTTCCTGGAAACAGTCCATTCCAGAGAGATGCACACCTCTTTGTTTCTTATCCTATACCATAAAAAGTCTGCATGGTTTTTTACAATGTTTTCCGAGCTGAAATATACCTCTTTTCATTTTCTAATACGATGTAGCATGTTTCTGTAACGATTAGAATTATGATAATATTCTACTGCATCGTTTGCAGTCCTTTTTATGAAGATTATCTCTGCAAGATCTGTTGAGCCATTATTTGTTCTTAGCCCTTGACCATCATGTCATTATCACTTTGATTTTTAATCCTGAAAGGATACATATTGCAGGCCTGCTACTGAATAGCAGAATTATATGTCTGAATCAATGAAAATAATTTAATGTTAACTGGAATTGTTTCTGCTTATTTGTTATAACAAAGTAAGAAAAACATGAAGCTAAGTTAAATGTAATAATTTATCAAATTGGCTGCCCTTAACCCTATACATCAAAGACCACATAGATTTTTGTGCTTAAAAAGACAGCCAGAAGAAATCATGGAAAATATGAACAGGAAAGACCTGCAGCCCCTACACTATAAAATTCATTGTTAAAGGTAGAACAGTTGAAATAGTTGTCTGAAAACATTCCTATATATTTTTAAAAACCCCATTCTGTTCAACATTGCTTCCATATATTGGGGATAAAAGTTTATCTGGGTCTAATTCTATAAAATGATTAATGCAGTCACTTCATAAAGATATCTTCCTTTGAAGGTTTAAAATTTGTGTTAATATTACTTAAGATTGGATAATATTAAAGATTATCTTAATATTTCTTGTAAGTATATTTTTAATCAAAAGCTTTACATTTTTTATTTAGAAAAAAAGATGGAGGAATTACACGAGCAAAGAAAGGTTTTAATTGAAAACCTAGAAGCAGTTGTGGAAGATATAGATGATACAAAAAGTTATATTTCACAAACAGGAGGAGTTATCAAATATGTTGGTGAGTAAGAAAAGAAATACGTTTAAATCCATGGATATCCCTAGGGACAGATAACACAACTTGGCTCATGATATAAATTTCATTCCAGATAGATAGATAGATAGATAGATAGATAGATAGATAGATAGATAGATAGATAGACAGATAGACAGATAGATAGATATAGATATAGGTATATAGATATATAGATATTGATGTTCCCATACACATATTCTTAATGAATGTACCTTTTCTTTATGTATACTGAGAGTATTTACACCAAGACAAATTCCTTGTGTGTCCAATCACACTTGGCCAATAAAGTGTTCTATTCTATTCTGTTCATATCTAAAGGGCAGAGCATGTAATGTCACAATGCATGTTTTGTCATTCTAATAACACCTTCATATTCCTTTCTTTATATTACCTGGATTTTTTTTATTGGGATAATGATCAGAATGATTATTTTTAAAAAACATTTACATTATTTGTAACTATCTGAAAATAACCATATAAATTGATTAAATAATAATAATAAATAATGATCGACCATTTGACAATCAATTCTAAAGGATTAATAGCATTAGCAACAGCACCTAGGTTTATATACTGATTACAGTGCTTTCCAGCCCTCTCTAAGTGGTTTTACAAAGTCAGCATATTGCCCTTAACAATTTGGGTCCTCATTTTACCTACCTTAAAAGGATGAAAGGCTGAGTCAAACTTGAGCCTGGTGAGATTTGAACTGCCAAATTGCTGGCAGCTGGCAGCAGAAGTAGCCTACAGTGCTGCGCTCTAACCACTGTGCCACCATGGCTCATATAATGGTTAAAAACATTTATTTATTTATTTATCAAGAAAATTTATAGGCCATCTTATCTCAAGATAACATTGAAGAAAAGATTATTATAAGGACAATAAAATGTACTGTATCAAGAAGCAAACATAATTCATATGATTCTTCATTTATTTATTTATCAAGAAAATTTATATAGCCGCTCAACTCATTCACTTTGAGTGGCTAATAAAACCCTCAATACAAAATTCATTGTTGTCACTCCCTAGTGACAAAACCATGTGTTCAGGGCCTTTTGAAAGTGTCAAAGTGGGGGGCAAATTTATTTTCATAGGAAACCATAGAGGGGAAGCCACTACAGAGAAGGCCCTTCTTGGTCCTACCAAATGGACTTCCTTAAGAGAAGGTACTCTTAATAAACTTTGCCTCCCAACTTTGGTAAGACAATTGGACATGGTTCTTGAAATAACCTGGCCGCAGGCCATGTAGAGTTTTAAAGGTGACAACCAGCCTCTTGAATTGTAACTAGAAGTAAATTGGCTTCTGCAAGGTGATACATACAGGTAAAACTTGAAAAATTAGAATATCGTGCAAAAGTTCATTTATTTCAGTAATGCAACTTAAAAGGTAAAACTAATATATGAAATAGACTCATTACATGCAAAGCAAGATAGTTCAAGCCGTGATGTGTCATAATTGAGATGATTATGGCTTACAGCTCATGAAAACCCCAAATCCACAATCTCAGAAAATTGGAATTAAAGTCTAAAAGAAAACAAACAAGTTCAGAGAGCACCAACGGCCCCTTATGTGTATTGTACGTGTGTGTGTGTGTGTGTGTGTGTGTGTGTGTGTAGTTTTATAAGTTATTTTTCACAGTGCATAATATTTAAGATCACTGTAATCACAAAATAAAATTTACATTCCAAACTGCTTCTTTTTTTAATTGTTATTTTTTAGAAAAGGATTTGGGAACACTTTATCAGAAGAAGCAAATGTTTTTGGAACGTTTGGAGATAAATTTAAACAACCTTCAAGAAACACAGACTGTTGTAGTTACTCATCCAAGCAGCATAAATGGTTGGTATAGAATAGGATTTGGTAGCCCTTCACTGCTGAATTTCATTGGATGCATCTGATAAATTAGCCTTTTAGAGTTTCTGGAACTTACTAGTACCATGATTTCTGAAAATTATTTCCATACATTTCTGTATATTGGTATAAAAAATATGGAAAAACAATATATCTAAATTACCCCCAAAATGCAGGGAAATTCTTGGTCTCAGCCCTGTATGTGATTGTGCATTACTATTTCATTAATTGCATCCCTTAAGTCCAAAATTACATTCTGATTGCACACTACAGGATCTCCTAAAATGTGTATACTACAGAAGATTGATTTGTCTGTCTACTTGATCACTTGGCAATTTTTGTGAAGAACTCCTAATTAATTCTATTCTGAGTGAACCTCAGTATTATATTTAGTTATAAAAAGTTGCTAGTTAAAAAATAAAAGTCTTAATAAAATCAAATTTATAAACATAAATTCAAATTATAAATTATAATTTTTTGAAAAAAATGCAAAAAATGTGGCATGAGAATGGATTTATATATTATAATTAATTCAAAACAGTACCTTGCACTGTTAATGCTCTGGCATTTTCAAATTGTATATTTCTATTTTTACTAAAATATTTTTTGCAGAACAAAAAATAATTGATCTCACAAATGAAAGAAAGCTTTTGGTTGCTGGTTTTGAAGCAGTTATTCAAGATTTACAAGATATGAAGGATATTACTAAAGAAACAGTTAAAAAATCCAAAAGTAAGTATAGCATAAATTTCATGTAATGTCTTCATGTAATGTCACATGCTTTGTCTCATCTTCTTTTTGTAAAACTGTTAATAATATGGTTTTAGATTTAATAGTAATTTAATCTGTTAAAAAGGGAAAGACAAAATATCTTCATGAATTTTATTTCATTTAATTTTTAAAGTTTTCCAATCAAATTTGAATCTGAAAAATTTGTAAGTTGATGTGTGGGTTTGTGTGAGTGAAGTATTAACAGCTACAGGATAATAGGAGGGAAGGGTGAAAATTGGGCCTATCTTATCTGGCTAGGAGATAACATAAAAAGCTCATAAAAATCTCTCATCTAGAGAAAGGTAATTTGATATCTTTTCTAAAATAGAGAAAGTCTGTAGTTAAAGCCAATATATGTCTCAAGGACTAAATCTTACATTCTCAGATGATTATTCTCTTTTTTCAGAACAGCTTTTGGAAGTACTATGTGAACAAAAAGGATTGTTATTGGAAAAGTTGTCATCAAATCTGAAAGATTTGAAGCAAACACAGGCTCTTGCAGTTGCTCAACCAGGCAGTATTAATGGTAAGTATTTTGTAAGATATAATAATGAATAAGTTATAGTAATTATTTATAACTATAAATAGCAAAAATAACAATCATAAAATTATTTTTAATTATTCAAAAGGGCTAAAATATTACTACAATAATTAATTTTATCAAAAGCCAGTTTGATATAGTGGTTAAAGAATTAGGCTTGAAACCAGCAAATGGGAATTCTAATCCCATTTTAGGCTGAGTGACATTGCACACACACAAAATGAATGTAAAACTGAACTCATACATGCAGCCTTCTACAACGAGTATATTATATAAAATCATACATTGCAATGTCCTACCTGTCAATGAATACTTCAGCTTCAGCCATAACAATACAAGAGCACACAATAGATACAAACTCAAGGTTAACAGCACCAAACTTGATTGTAGGAAATACGACTTTAGCAACAGAGTAGTCAATGTCTGGAATACTCTACCTGACTCTGTGGTTTCTTCCCCCAACCCAAAAACTTTAACCTTAGACTGTCTACTATTGACCTCACCCCTTTCCTAAGAGATCTGTAGGGGGTGTGCATAAGTGCACCAACCTGCCTACCATCCCTGTCCTATTGTTTCTTTTTATTTTTCTTATATGTATTCATTTCATGTATTCATAACTATATTTATACATAGTTATATTACCTTATAAGCGATTGACAAAATAAAATAAATAAATAAAATAAATAAACTTTTTGTGTGAACAAGGAGGCTGCAGATATCAGGTCACCACCAATCTAGTCCCAAATTACTTTCATTCCCAATTCTCTATCAGAATGCCTTTAGTAGAATATATAATAACTACAGTATAAAACTGTGAAAAAATGTTTTTCTGTTATTATAGTAAAGTATTATATTATATATGTTAAAGGAGGGATTTACTTATTTAGCTTCATAAGTTATCAAACTTTTAGGCAGTGTGCAGAATAAAGACACATCATAGAGGGATGGATGGATGGATGGACAGAAAGACTGGTGTGTATGTTTGTATTTCCCACTAGTAGAGAGCATTGGTGAGAAATGCACTTAAATAACAATCTATTCTCCACCAGTTGGGATCATAAATCAATGTGGCTTCTGGCTTGTTTAAAAAAAAGTTTTTAGAGTTTTCTAAAAGAATTTGTGTCCTAAACACTCCGTTAGGATGGTGTTCTGTCTCATCTGTATCCATAGGTGAAAATCTAAAGTTCCAAAGTTCAAATATCCAAGCAAACAAAACCAGACCCAAAAGAGTTAAACTAATTGTTTTCACAGTCCTTGGCAGTCTTCCTGGAATTCGTCTGGCAAATCTGAACTGTCCATAAATCACGATGCCATAGCCATACGCAATTCTTTCACACCAAAATACACTTTGCTTCTAACAAGGATTACGAGCTAGTACGCTCCCTTATATCCCCTGAGGGGGCGTGTCAGACTCACCAATTAATCACTGGCTTGACGCTTCTTTTCAAATTGTGATTGATGTTTCAATCTTCTTCTAGTCCTAGCATCAAGCCAACATCCATCAGTGTCGTCATTGCTCGAAACCTCTGGCACGTTCTCCTGATTTTCTGTTAACAGCTGAGGTGTAATCAGGGAGGGAGATTCAGGGGAGGGAGAGGACTCCGAAACCTCCAGTAAAGCAGGCTCATCTCTCAGAGCCAACTCCTCCCCCTCTTCCTGACTCCCCTCTAAGTCACTTAATAATGCAGGCTCGAATCTCAATGCCAGATCTTCTTCATCACTCGAGCCTACATCTGCTGACTGACCAGGTTCAAGTCTCGGAGTCACAACAGGATGGTATTCCAGGGACTGAGATAATGAGAGAGAAGTCACGGTTCTGTTTATTTTGTGATACCTGAAACATAAATACCTTGGATAGTGCAGAGATCCCCTATCCCTGGGCCATGACCAAGTATTGGGCAGTGATCCATTCGGAACTGGACCACGAAAGTGGTGGATGAGTGCATGCATGCATGTGGTTCCAATTGCGAGAGCAGCAGATATGTATGCATGTATACATATGCAGCTCCATTTGTACAAGTGGGGAGCATACCTGCCTGCTGCTAGCACAAATGGAGCTGACCACTGCTCATGCAGAACCATACCCTCCCCCCAACTGGTCCGCAAAGCAGGAAAAATTGGGGAATGCTGGCCTAATGTGACTATCAAGCTGGTAGACAATAGCATGACTGCATCTCAAACGAGCCATCTGTTAAAATACTGAAGTTTGCTGATGACACAACAGTGATTGGTCTCATTCGAGACAATGATGAATCTGCATACAGACAGGAGGTTATACAACTTGTCTCGTGGTGTAACCAGAACAATCTGGAACTGATCACACTGTTTTTAAGGAAGTATGATATTTAATTGAAAAGAAGTGTTAAAGATGTTAAGATTTTAATGATTATTAATGGTAGAACTGAACTGGAATGGAATGAGGGTTTATAATTACATATATTTACAATCTTTCTTTCTTTTTTAAAAGAATATAGTGTGTATTATAAGAATGTACCAAGCAGAATTCGATTGGAAGTTATGTATTATGTATTATATTGAAGGTCATAAACTTAAGGTATATATTGAAGTTTAAATAAGAGATGAATGGATGTAATTAAAAAATATAAAGGTGTCATACTCCAATTAGTAACTACAGGAGAAATTTTGCTTAATGAAAAAAGGTAATATGAAATTGAAACAGAACAGACAAAAGTATAAATATAATGATTTGAATTGAGATGAGATAATCAAATAAAATTGAGAAAATTAAAAGGGGAAAAACTATATAGAAAATGTAAAATAGTATAAGATGTGGAATAGAATACAAAAAGGAGCATGAAATTGAGTTTTGTGTCTGTATAAAGAAGTTCAACCCGGGACCATGCTATTTTCAAAAAAGATGTTTTAGTTGTATTTTGTGTGTGAAAACCCAAATAAAACTTTATTTTAAAAAAACAGTAGAGACCTTCAAATTTCTAGATTCTATTATATCACAAGACCTAAAATGGACACCTAACATCAAAAACATCATCAAAAAAAGCACAACAAAAAATGTTCTTCCTGCACCAACTCAGAAAGCTCAAACTGCCCAAGGAGCTGCTGATACAGTTCTACAGAGGAATTGTTGAGTCTGTCATCTGCACTCTATAACTATCTGGTTTGGTTCTGCAACCCAACAAGACAGACACAGACTTCAGAGAATAATTAGGACTGCAGAAAAAACAATTACTACCCACCTTCCTTCAATTGAGGACTGTATACTGCATGAGTCAAAAAGAGGGCGGTGAAAATATTTACAGACCCCTCATATCCCAGACACAAACTGTTTCAACTCCTTCCCTCAAAACGATCCTATAGAGTACTGTACACCAGAACCACCAGACACAAGAACATTTTTTCTCAAATGCCATCACTCTGCTAAACAAATAATTCCCTCAACACTGTTCAATTATTTACAAAGTGTGCACTACTATTACTGTTAATCTTCTCATCACTCCTTATCACCCAGCCCCTCCCACTTGTGATTGTAGGACTGTAACTTTGTCACTTGTATCCTTACGATTTATATTGACTGTTTCCTAGTATGATTTGAGTGTTGATTGTACCCTATGACTATCATTAAGTGTACATTACAATTCTTGTTTCTTAACGGATGTATCTTTTCTTTATGTATACTGAAAGTATTTACACCAAGACAAATTCCTTGTGTGTCCAATCACACTTGGCCAATGAAGTATTCTATTCTGTTCTGTTCTATTCTATTCTGTTCTGTTCTGTTCTATAAGGCTTAACAGTCAGAAATAGTTAATTATAGTATAAAATAAAACCACATTTCTTCTAAATTTATATATCTCCCTGGTGACAATCCCAAAAGCCTGTTTCTATTTGAATCATAGACACTGTAGCTAGTATATTTTATTCTCTTCTGCTGTATCTGAAGAGAAAGAAGATAGCTAATAATTTTTAGTTTCCTCATTGTCAAGAGTATTCTGAAATGCTCAATTTCCCCAAACCTGTAAAATTATTTATAATGTTCCTTTCCAAAAGGTAGCCCTCCTATTTTCATATTTTGTGTTTGACATGAAATATATTTCATTTTTAGAGCAACATATACAAGAACTCAATGAACAAAGAAGGCTATTGTCTGTAGGCTTAGAGGGAATTGTACAAAATATTCAACGTATACAGAATCTTAAATCAAGCGAAACCGAACTATTAACACCCAGTGGTAAGTACAGAATTAAAATTGTTATCAGATGAGGCTTCCCAAATGAACCTTTTTATCTATCTCATGTGTGAAAGAATATCATCTATGAAACTATTCTACCAAAACTGAAATCTTGTTTTGTCTCAAATTCCACACTATTGAAAGATGTATTTTCCAGAAGTATTATGGAGATTCTCTGAATGCTTCTTAAGCAACCCCTTTTCATAAAATTATTCCAATGACTAGCCAACTAGCCATGCAATTTGATTTCTATCTATATTTTTAATCTTGTATTCTACATAAAAGTAGAAGTATTTTTTAATTTTTATTTTACTTAGAAAATTGAAATACAAATTCAAAAAGACTATAAAAAATATCAAAAATGTATAAAATACTTTTAAAATATGCATTAAAAAGGATAAAAAAACACATATACATATATTGCTCCCCCCCCCCGTTGCTTACTGTAAATGGTGTATATTGCAACTCCCCTTTGCGAAGCAGTTTTGCAGTCTATTTACAGTCAACTTGGTGTATTGTCTGTCTACTATATGTAAACAGACAAACAGGTAAATCAACAACAAAGTTAAATTTCAGAGTCCTTTGTTATCTAGTTAGATATAATAAGTCCATTTTTCAAAATCAATTGTCAAAAAGGTCCAGTCCAAATTGTTTTCAGTTGGGTATAAAAAGTCCATCTTCTTCTTAAGAGAGTCCAATTCATCACTTATCCAATCTGCCAATTATAAGTCTGTAAAATCCAGATCTCCTTCAGTTTTCTGCAACATGCCTTCTGTTTTCCTGCTAAACTGCTTCTTTCTCAAATCTTCCAGGATTTAGATTCCAGTCCATCCAATTTTAAGTCTTGCTTAGCTACAATGGTTTGCATCTAGGTATCCTCTTTAAGTTGATTTGAAACTGCGGTAATTTTATCAAACGTTTTACCAAAGTTTTCAATTTGAGCTTGTAAATTAAAAATATTTTTTCAAAGCCTTCCTACCAGGTTTTATCTTTAATCTGGCTGGTGCATTATTTGCATTTTTAAATATGCAGCAAACTCTCCTTTATCGGGTTTACACAAGCAAAGAAAAAAACAATTCAAGGCAAAAATGTAACAAAATAGCTGCAGAGAACATCAAAATAATCTCACATTGAAGTATGAAGAAAAGAAGAAAAAGAAAACGTTCCATCAAAAATCAAAAAGAAAAAAAATCTGTATCAAAACTTTGTAAGAGTTAAACCTTGTAGTGAAATCTAATACAACTAATCCTCAACTTACAGCAGTTCATTTAGTGACCGTTCAAAGTTACAACAGCAATGGAATAAATGACTTAAGGTTGTTTTCACACCTACGACTGTTGCAACATCCCCATGGTCATGTGATCAAAATTCAGACACTTGGCTACTGACTCATATTTATTACAGTTGCAGTGTCCCAAGATCATGTGATCACCTTTTGTGACTTTTTTACAAAGTCAATGGGGAAGCTACATTAACAACTGGGTTACTAATTTAAGAACTGCAGTGATTCACTTAACAATTGTGGCAAAAAAGATTGTAAAATGGAACAAAATTCACTTAACAAATGTTTTACTTAGCAACATAAATTTGGGGCTCAATTGTCATAAGTCAAAGACTACCTGTATAGATATAAATCCATTCAGGTTAATTTCACTACTCAGAAAATTGCAGTTAGCTTTCATAAGCTTCGCAACTCCTCCCCGCTCCAAAAATACCAGTAAAGAAACAAAATAAAATTGATGTTAAAATCCAGCAAGTGCTTAGAACAAATAGCCTTCAACCAGTCAGATGTCTATGGAGATTCTCAGTCATCCAGGCTGTGGCCCACTTGTGGTCTGCAAGAAAATTGTGGTGGTCCGTAGAGAAATGTCACCCCCAGAGCACCACCCCAAAGCAATTAATCCAGGCTGCAGGGGAACACAAGGCTGCACTGCCCATATGGCCCATGGGAACACAAGGCTTGCGTCACTTGCATTAGGAACAACACCAGGTAGTGAAGGGAGTGCGGAAAGGGCAGAGGGGGATCTTGCTGGCCACCGGGTTGCTTCTTCCTCTTCTTTCTTTCTTCTGCTTTTGGCTGCATGCAAAGAAAGCAGCAAAAGTCTTTCTCTCCCCCAAACTCCACCAGAAATGAGTCTTTGGGACCCTGCAAGGCATTCTGCTCCAAGAGGCTGCACCGGTTAAGACTCATTTCTGGCGGAGTTTGGGGAGAGAGAAAGAAAGACTTTGGATGCTTCTAATGCATGAAACCTGAGAACAGAGCTCAAAAGCAGGTTAGGAATGTGGCTGCCTTGGAGAGGGTGGGGGGTGTGAGGGAGAGAGAGAAAGAGAAAGAAAATCACCAGCCTTCGAGATTAGATCGGATCTCTCCCTCTCTCTCTCTTTCCCTCTCCCTCCCACCAATCTTTTATTCCCACTGAACGTTCTGAATATTAATTATCTACAATAGTTTGGTTACACACAGTACATAGTAATGTATTGGTTAAGATGTTGGCCTGGGAGGGGGGAGGAAGGGGATCTAGATTTACCCTCAGCCTTGGTGCTGATACTTCTAGAGGCAGTACAAGATTAATGCTTATGCCTCTGCTGAGGTTGCCTTTTGAAGAACAAGATTGCAGCTGTTGACTTTTTCTAAGTAAATTTTATTTACTTCAGAATAAAATAGAAATCTAGTCCAGAACCTCATTTAAAATGTATTTATTTATTTGTTTGTTTAATTTATATTGCCGCCTATTCACCCATGGCGTCTTGAAGCGGCTTAGAGAATGTAAAACTATATTTAAAACTAAAAAACAATAAAAACTAACAAAAAGAATCAAATAAATTAATAAAGTATACTAGAACAAAATCTGGGGACAAAAATAAATAAAAAATAACTCCCCAACTCCCACCCCGCTGCCCCAGCAGTAAATCACATGAGCCATTTGATGGGCTCCATCCTGCTCTGGGTTCCTCAGGCCTGCTGGCAGAATGAGGTCTTCAGTGCCTTCTGGAAGAATATTAGAGAAAAGGCCATTCTAATCTCTGGATGAATGATGTTCCAGAGAGAGGGAGCCACCACAAAGAAGGCCCTTCTCTGGCTCCCACCAGGTGTATCTCCCTCAGGGATGAGACCTGCAGCATTCCCTGTCTCCCTGCTCTGGTGGGTTGGGTAGATTGACTGGCAATAGACATTCCCTCAGATAACCGGTCCCAAGCCATGAAGGGCTTTGATAGTGACAACCAGCATCTTGAATTGCACCCAGAAGCAAATCGGCAACCAATGCAGCTCCTGCAAAAGAGGTGATACATGTGCACACCAGGGTCTACACAAAACCATTTGGGCCACTACATTTTGCACCAACTGGAGCTTCTGGGTGGTCTTCAAGGGCAGCTCCATGTAGAGCGCATTGCAATAATTAAGACAGGAAGTGACTAGGGCATGAGTGACTGTGAGTAGGGATTGTTGGTCCAGGAAAGGGCGTAATTGGTGCACAACCCGCAGTTGCGCAAAGCCCTTCCTGGCCTGACTGCCACCTGCTCTTCAAGTAGGAGTCATGAATCCAGGAAAACCCTTAGATTACATATAGGGCCTGTTTGGGGTAGTGCCACTTCATCCAAGACCAAAGGTGGTAATTATCCCTGAGCCAACAAACCCCAAACCCAGAGCCACTTGGTCTTGCAAGGGTTTAGTTTCAACCCATTGTTCCCCATCCAGCCCCTAATAGTCTCCAGGCACTGCGAGAGGGAGGACACAGCAACACTTGACTCATCACAGGTTGAGATATACAGCTGAGTATCCCCCAAAAGGGAAGATTGGAGACAGGTAAATTATCCTACCAGATGGAGTCCAGCGATGGCTTCTTAAGAAGAGGGCGGACTACAGCCTCCTTAAAGTGCTGGAGCACCATCCCCCCCTGTATGGAAGCATTAATCACTGCCAGAGTCCACCCACCTGTCACCTCCTGGGAAGCTTTCACAAACTAGGAGGGACATGGTCTAAAACACAGGTGTTTGCACTCATACTCCGTAGGATCCTGTCCATTTCCTCAGGAACAACATGATCAAACAGATCCCAGATAACAGGCCAAGAACCTGCCTTAGGAGCTTCCATTGGACCAACAACCATGCCAGTATCTAACTTGGAATGAAGTTGAGCAATTTTGTCTTCCAGAAAATCTGCAAATTCCTCAGCATGCCCCTTCACGTGAACCTCAATCTCCTCCTTCCCCAGGAGGAGGAGGCTCACTTTAAAGAGGGTTGCTGGGCAATTATCTGCAGACGCAATTAGTGTGGAGAAGTATTTACACTTTGCTACATGAATCACCATGAGGTAAGCCTTAGTCGAAGCTCTTACCCGGGTTCAATAAGTTCATCTCCTGTCTTCTGCCAGTGGTGCTCTAGATGATTCCTCATGCATTTCATCTCTGTCAGTTCCTCTTTATACCACGGGGCACAGAGAGTTCTATGGGTGAAGAGAGGTTGCAAGGGAGCAATCCTATCCAGAGCCTCAGTCACCTTCCTATTCCTAACAGTGACTAAGAACTCGGCTGGACTGCGCAATAGATCTGCAGTTATAATCTCCAGCTCCTTCTGGAACCCATTCTGGTCTATTAGTCAATGGGGGCGGACCAATCTAATAGGTCCTGCCTTCATGTGGGGGGGGCGGGGTGCAGCTTTTGAGAAACTCATTGCCACCGACCATGAAAAGGGGACCAAGGACAGGTCCACCAATTTGAGGTCACTTAGACACTGCTCCAACAAGAACACCAAATCGGGTGTGTGACCACTATTATTAGTCGGGCTCTGGATGATCTGGGACAGGCCCATGGAAGTCATGGTTTCCATGAAATCTCCATCCCTGCCCCGAGAGAAGGCAGGTTGAAATCCCTCAGAACTGTAAGCCTGGGGAATTCCATCCTAGCTGTAAACCTAACCCTAACCCTGCGGTCATGTCCAGGAGCCTCGGTAGGGAAGCTGTCATGCAGCAGGGAGGCTGGTACAGCAGCAGCAATCCCACCTGATCCCTTGAGTCCAACCTAAGAAAAAGGGTCTCATAGCCAGGCACTTGTGGAACAAGATACTCAAGATTTGATAAATTGTATTAATTATTGACCTTCAGTTGAATCTGCTATGTAGCTGGTTTTTATTCTAAACTAGGAAAAGAATGTTCACTTAAAGAAGGCATGTATCCTACTTATAAAAGAAAGTACTATTGCTTTTTATTGGCTTATTTTTCTTTGTGCTTTTTTTCACATTGATTGTAGCTTCCTCATAAATACAATAGTTTTAGGCTTGCTGTGAAAAGGATTGAAAGTATCAGAAATAAGAATCAAGTAAGATAAAATCTTGCTTTCCTATGGGATTCCTTCACATCAGCCAGTAAATAAACTTCTGGGTAAGGTGATAGCATGATATTTTGAATCTTTTAGGCTAATAATTTTAAACTATTTCCTTTTATAGAAATACAAGCATTATCTGAGAAGAGAAGGTTATATTTGGATAATATGGAATTAAATTTGAAAGATTTGAAAGTTTTGCAGGCCGCTGCAGTTACGCAACCAGATAATGGTAAATAATTAATTTTTAGAATGTTAATATACTAGGCACTTTTCTGTTTTCTCAGCAGTATTTTTTAAGATGAAAAATCTTCAGTATGTTTTTGGTGGACAAATAGTACTGATGATAAAAATAATTCTTAATTTGGTGCGGGGAAGCATCCAACAATAATTAATTCCCCTTATAGCCTAGGAAAGCAGGAATCATATCTTAATTATTTTTTAACTTGATGAAATGGGATTACTCCTTCCTTTCTCATAAGTGTCCTCCAAGTTTTCTGGTGCAGTTTTCTGCAAATATCTGCTGGGAGAATTAGGAATTGATAAAAAATTGCCCCTGTTCTTTCTCTGATGACAGGTTTCTGTCTCTCACTATACATCATATAGCTAGAATTAGAATTGGCATTTCAAATATTTCTCCATTTCTGTATTACCATTTCTGAATAACTATATAACAAAAGGATCCAGCAAACTTTCACTTGTTTTTTAACCTTCCAAAGAGATAAGTATTTTACTAGTACAGGATACCAGCTCCATAGATCAATTCTTGAAATTCTTCTGATCTATTTAGAATCTCTTATGCTACTTCAGATGTTTGTTCCAGCTATTATAAAATCTTACACTTTTCTCAAATTTATTTTACTCAATTAGCATTTGAGTGATGCATTGCTACTCTTGAATTTTTGGTGTTTTTGTAAACATTATTATGATATTGATAGTTTAATGTGTTTTATTTCAATTGTTTTAATATATTACATCTTAACCTCTAGATATTGCCTTCCAGTCTATTTCTATAGAGTACATTTCTAAAAATTTTAATAGTAACATGGATGTTCCTTTTGTGCAGAACAGATAATTCAACAATTAGCTGAAAAAAAAATAATATTGTTTGACAATCTGGAGAGAATTATTCAGGATGTGGAGCAAGAACAGAACTCTGATTTAGAAAAAGGTTTGATGAAAAGATCTGATGGTAAGTGTTTAAAATAAAATTGTAGGGTAATTTATTAATGTTAACTGACCTAGAAAGAACATTGTCATTGATTTTCATTCCTTTCATTTCTTTGTCTTCTCTAATATTCCAATTCAACACTTCCAATGTTAACACAAACAGCAGGGACGACAGTGGACACCCTTGTCTTGTCCCTTTTCTTATATCTATAGATTATGTTAGCTCTCCATTTACCATAACCTTTGCAGTTTGTTCATAGTATATCGTTTCAATGGCTTGAATGAATTTTTTACCAAAGCCCATTTGTTCCAATTGCAATAACATAAATCGCCAACTCAAAGTCAAAGGCTTTTTGTGCGTCCAAAAACATCAAAGCCATTTGCTTCTCGGGATGTGCCTCATAGTATTCCAGAGTATCCAAAATAATTCTCACATTGTCTTTGATTTGTCTCTTTGGCAGGAATCCATTTTGATCAATATAGATAAAGTTATTTAAATATCTTTTTAGTCTTTCTGCCAAAATTGAAGAAAAAATTTTATAGTCTGAATTTAATAGGGATATAGGTCTGTAATTTTTAACGCTGCAGGTCTGTATCCTCCTTCGGTGTAAGTGTAATATATGCTTCTGTCCATGTTTTGGGTATTCTTTTCTTTAACATAACTTTGTTCAAAAATTCTAATAGGTGAAGATTCAATATTTCCTGGAAGGTCTTGTAAAATTCCTCTGGTAAACCATCTGGACTTGGTGCTTTTTCAACATTCTGTTTTTTTAAAGCTTCTGTTAATTCCATCGTTGTTATATTCCCTTCTAGCATTGTTTCAGTATCTTTAGGTATCTGAGGTAAATTCGCTTTCTGTAAATATTGCTTAACTTTTTCTTTTTGAATATTCTCTTGAAAATACAATTTCCCATAGTAATCTTGTATAATTTTTTTCTTCTCATTTCCATAGCAAGCATGTCCTTCTTCATTTATTAGTTAGCTAATCCTTCTTGATTCTCTGTCCTTTCTCAGTTTATAGGCTAGCCATCTTCCTGGTTTATTTGCATCTTCAAAATAATTCTGTTTAGTATTTTTAATTTTTTGTGCTAGTTCCTCTTTTTCCATTAGTCCTATTTTATATTTAATTATATCCATTTTATTTTTAATGTCTTTTTTGGTGGGGACTTCTGTAGATCTTTTTACAATTTTTTATAATCATCCTCCAATATTTTGAAAGTCTTTTTCTGTTTTATATTTCTTTTCCTTGTATAGTCTATTATCAAGCTTCTTGTGTAGGCCTTCATCGTGTCCCAGAGGTTCTGTAGAGATGTATCCTCTTTTCTATTTTCTTTAAAAAAGAAAGCAAGTTCTTTCTCTATTTTCTGTTTAAAGTCTTTTTCTTTTAATATTGTATTATTTAGGGACCATCTAGATCTCCTCTTATATCCTTTCCAAATAACTGTCACTGGATTATGGTCTGTCTAAGTGCTTGTTTCTATTTCAGTCCCTCGTATGTTGGCCCGTAACTCTGCTGGCATCCATATCATGTCTATTCTAGACCATGAAGCATGTCTGTTTACTCTCCACATTCCTCTCTCTCCATGCATCTTTTAAGTTGAATTCCTTTGTTATTCCAAAGAAAGATTTTGGTAGTATTTTTCTAGCTTTCTTTGTTGATTTCTGTGTTTTGTAGTCCAACCGATCATTAACTATTCCATTAAGATCTCCCATCATACAGATATTAACATAGTCCAATTCAATTATTTTCATATGTAATTTCCTGTAAAATTCCTCTTGGTTATCGTTCAGAGCATAAATTGCAGTTAAAAGTGTTTTAACATTATTGTCCATTATTTCCACTATCAAAATCCTTCCATTGTCATCAGTGTAACTTAATTCTACCAAAATTGTGTCTTTAATATATAAAACCACACCTCTTTTTTTAGATTGTGCCAGTGATATAAATAATTTCCCTAATTTTTTTTGTTTCAGTATATATTCATGTTGTTTTTTTTAATATGTACTTCTTGTAAGCAAATTATTTCTCTAATTTATGAAATACTTTCCTTCTTTTAGTAGCCAAATTAAGTCCATTTATGTTAATCGTAATCAATTTTCTTTCATACATGTTAAGCTTTGTGAGGGGCTTTTATTGGTCTAGTAGGTCTTAATTCTCGTTGCTCTCTGGGTACACCACCTACTGCATTTTCTTCTTTCTCTTTTTCAATTACTGCTATACAGTCCTCTTGGAATTCAATTAGTGACTTTTCCTTTCTAGCTTCTTTCTCCTTTCTTCTGAAATATTCTAAGTAGAATAGCTCAGCTTTTTCAACTGTATCAATTCTGTGTCTTTGTTCCTGCCAGGTGAACAAGAGGCCTTCTGGCATCAGCCATCTGTAATTTACTCCTCTTTTAAGTAACTCTTTAGTAAAAAATAAATATTCTCTTCTCATCTCTCTTACTCTTCTTGGTACCTGTTTCAGCACCACAATTTCTTTATCTTTGTACTTTAAAGTTTTCTCTCTTGCCACCTGCGGTATCTGTGTCTTAATCTTTTTAGTGAATCTGATATGAACTTCTCTTGGTAGTCTGTTCTCATTGCATATCTTGTATAGACATGGAACACTTCATCTATCCCACCCATCATCTTCTCTTTAGTTATCTCTAGCACTTCTGCCGGTATTTCTGTCATTTCTGCCAGTATTTCTGTTATTTCAGCAACATTTTCACCTTTTCCTTCTTCTATATTTTGAAATTTTAAGTAGAATTCTGATCTGTCAATTTCCCATCCTATTAGTTCACATCTGCCCTTCTCAACATCGCTCAATCGAGTATCAATATCTCCAATTTTCTTGTCCCTTTGTTTATCTTCTTCTTCAATTTTTTAAAAATCTATCTTCATATTGCATCATCATCTCTTGAATACTTCCTACTTTCGCATCTATCTTTTCAATTCTTTGCTTGATATTCTTCATTCTCTTTTCAATCTTCTGAATTCCTTGCATAATCATCTGTAATGTCACTTCCTTCTCTTTCTCCTGTTGTAAGATTGTCTGTATTGACCGTTGTCCTCCAGATGGTGAAGAGGTTATTGGTATTGAGGAAGCTGGTGCTGTTGTCTTTCTGCTCATCTTGTAGTGCTTACCTTCAGAGAGGGAGAAAGAAAAAAGAGAAAAGGAAAAAGGAAAAAGAAAAAAAAAGGAATACAGGCAGGCGATTGCCACTCCCCCCACAAAAAAGGGGGCATGCATAAGCGCACCAACATGCCTAGTGTCCCTGTCCTATTGTTTCTTTTATTTTTATTTTTCTTATATGTATCCATGTATTCATAACTATGTTTTTACTTATACCTATTATCTTGTAAGCAATTGACAAAAATAAAGAAATAAAGAAAAATCTTCAGGCACTTATGTACCTTAATTCAATTATTTCTCTTAATAAAAGAGAGAAAAGGAAGAAGATAAAAATAAAAAAAGAAGTAAAAAAAATTACATTTTAGTTTCTGGAACAGAAGGTTAAAATCCAAGTATAAAAATCCAACTGAGTGGGGGAGTAAAACAGGAGATGGAAAATAACCTAAAGTTAAGCCGGCTACTGCCACTGAGTATCCAAGGCTCTTTAATAAATCAACTCAATGTTTCTAGTTCCAGTATTTTCAAGGTCACTTCAATCTTCTTTCTTTCAACTTCAGCTCAAAGCTCTAATTATTTAGTTTCACAGATAAGCACCTGTATAAACAATCTGCCATGCTCATCCCACTATCTTTTCCAGTGCAAAGCTCAGAGTCCTTGAGTCCAGCGCTAGTTTTTCCCCCCTTCACTTTCACTCCCCCCTCATGTATCCAATACAAGAAACAAAAAGAGAAAATGGAATCCTTCCCTTTTCTTGAAAAAAATAAAAAAATAAAACTCAAATCCAAAAGAAGAGTCTTAATCAAAACAGACTTTCAAAAAGTTGTTAAAAAAAAAAAGATGGAAAATTTGAAAGAAACCAATCCAGTTTAAAGTTCAGTAACTTTACCAAATTCAAAGTTCCAATAAAAAGGGAAAAGGAAAAAACTTTGACTTTAACTAGCTTAATTTCGCCACTTAAACTCTTTTCTCTTCACTTTTAATTTCACTTTAAATCTTTCAGGATGTTCTCTTCAAGCAATAATAAGTAAAAATTCATCTCACCAAACTGACATACTTTTCAATCTCTTCCGTTCTGGAGCTGTCCCAGCTTCAGCAGCTTGAATGGCTGCCTCTCCGCCTCTGGCAAAAGGGCTTTCCCCGGATCAACCAGGGACTTTGCAATGTCCCTGGGATTGACAGGATGTCCCCTAATCAGTCACCATCTCTAGGGAACAGTTTAGGTCCGTTGGGACTGTGCAGCAGTGGAGATATTGATGGCAATCTTGGAGGAGCGAGATTGCACGTTGTACTGCCGTGATGCCGGCTCCGCCCTCCAGAATGTTTTTAATTATTGTTCATGCAAATAGGGAGTTTTTTCTTACTTCCACAACAATTCATGCTATTCATGCAGTAGTTTCTGGGTTACAGGTTACCTTTCTTTTGCTTGTTGAGAAATGCAGATATAAAGATTGCTTCACTTTTCCATTTCAAAATAAAAGAAAGAAACTGAACTGTACTTTTAAATGCAATGTTTTAACCAAAAATTGAATCTGTGTATTTCTACATTTCTAGAGAGAGAAATACATGAGCTGCTAGTGTTTTCAGCACTAGAATCAAAATGTTATGAACTGGAAGAAATGGGGATTCTTTCATATAATCAGCTGGATGTTATCAGTAAGTACAGAATTAAGCCCTGAAGCATGTACAATATTTCATGATGAAAGAAAAGTTCTTTAGAAGATAACCTATATAATCACAATCTATTTAATGAACAAATATTTATTTATTTAAGAAAATTGTTATTGTAAAAAGAATGTTAAATACATTGTTTCTTTTATTGTCATTTATTATAATCTAGAAAGGAAAGTGAACGATTTAAAAGAAAAAAGAAAGAGTTCATTTTATGGACATCATTTACTTTATCCCAAAGAATATCCAGTAGAAAATATGCTTGAGAGTAAGTACAAACAGTGGTATAATATTAAGTTAGAGGTAGTCCTTGACTTACAGCCACAACTGGCACAAAATTTCTGTTGCTAAGCAAGACAATTAAGTGAATCCTGACCCATTTTATGATCTTTCTTGCCACAGTCAAGTGAATCCCTGTAGCTGTTAAGTTAGTAACATGATTCTTAAGTGAATCTACTTTCCCCATTGATTTTGCTTGTCACAAGGTTGCAAAAAGTGATCACATGACCCCAAGGCACTGCAACTATCATAAATATGAGCCAGTTGCCAAGTGTCCAAATTTTGATCAGTGACCATGGGGATTCTGCAACAATCATAACTATGAAAAACAGTCATCAGTCATTTTTTCAGTGCCACTGTAACTTTGAATAATCACTAAATTGAACTGTTGTAAGTAAAGGAGCTCCATTATTTTATTTAATATATAAAAATGAATCCAGTAGCCATCAATTTCAACATAGCAATCAAATTTCTGCTTTTAAGCATGCATCTATGGACTTATTTTTAATTAGTTTGGACCATATCCATAATTTGGAACTCTATTTAGGTAATCCCTCACCCCCATACATACTGATTTTATATTGGTAACGTGATGAAATAATGGCCCATAAAATTAGTTTTAGCTTTTTCATTCTGCTAATCCTGAAAAGATAATTTGGGTATTATTAGGTGGTTTTTGTAGAAGGTAAGCTCTGTAAATATATCACTTTTAACTTAGTGAAATATGAAGGCTTTTCTAATATTTTGGGGGTATATGTTATTTTTCATAAATGCTAACAAAATATACAAGGGCTATCAATTATTTTTTAATAATGGAAATTTCTAAGATAAATATTTGATGGAAATTATTGAAAACTTCCATGTGGAAAGACTGATTTTGATCACCCTCCCTTCATTAGAATTGGTTTATGGAAAAACAAATATGAAAAAACAAGTTTGAAGAACAAATTTGCTACATGAGAAATAAATAAATACAAACAAATATGTATTTATCTGTGAAACTTTTTTGAAGCTTCAGGGGTTGGCTGCTGGGCGTTCTCAAGGGTTCGGGAGATCCTCTAGCTAAGATTCTGCACAGTTCAGAGAACCCCCAAATCCCACTCCTAGCTGGCCCTGCCCACCCCACCCGCCCCTCCCAGGAGTCCCCATGCAGCCTGTTTTGGATGCAGATAAGCCCAGGCTGCTCGCAGACACTCAGGGCCTCCCCGAAGTTTGGGAAGGCTGGAAATGGGCCTGTTTCTGGCTTCCAGAGAGCCTCCAGAGCCCAGGGAGGCCGTTTTCGTCCCCCTGGAGGCTTGAGGAAAGCCTCCGGAGCCTACAAAGGGCAAAAACGCCTCCCCACCATGGTGCAGGAGGTCAACTAGGCCATGGCCATGCCCACCCAGCAACCGTGTGAGAACCCATTGCTAAAATTTTTGAAGCCCAGCCCTGGTCACAATCACTTGCTTGTAAGACACTTTATTTTAAAATAAACTCTTAAAAAATATTGAGGATTAATTTAAAAGGGGGAAGGGAAAAACATATTTTTCATCTAAAAGCACTTAGATTTGAAGCAGTTCCAGACTGCAATAGAGGATGTGAAGTAAAATTAGTTGATGGAACAATAAACTTTTTTTACTAAGAGTAAAAAGCTGCATGCAACAGTGATAAACATGGCATTTTTTAAATCCTTTCAACAGACATGGTATTACTATCAACACATATTTTGTAAATTTAAGTGATAATTGTTCTTTTATTCTTAGGGCAAAAAGAAGCATTAAAAGAATTCCTCCAACAAAGAAAGTATTTGTTTTCGTATCTGCGATCAAGTATTGAAAATCTGCAACAAAAAAGCGTTGCTTGGCAAGAAATGTCTGGTAAATTCAATTTTATTATTTCTGGTTATCATTTTTTGGATTTTTAAAGCTTTTTAAAAAAATATAGGGCCTCAAAAGCGATTGTGACTTTCAAAAAAATCTTCATAGATAAATACATATTTATTTGTATTTATTTATTTCTCATGTAACCAACCCATTCTTCAAACTTCTTTTTCCATAAACCAATTCTAATGAAGGGAGGTTGATCAAGATCAGTCTTTCCATATTAAAATTTACAATAATTTCCATCATATATTTACCTTAGAAATTTCTATTATTTAAAATTAATTGATATCCCTTGTATATTTTGTGGGCGCTACTTATGAAAAACAACATATTTTCCAAAAATAATAAATGTCCATGCGAGAACTGCCTTCATATTTCACTAAGTGAAAGCTAGATTTTTTTGATTGATGAAAAAAATACTTAAAGCTTTTTATATGATCCCAGTTGTTTAAAAAACATCATAAAATAAAGAATAAACGTTGCTTTTATAGTTAAAAAGAGAATTGCAAGAATAATATTTGGTTAGAATGTGACCAAATAATACTGATTAAATTTTGTGCACAACCATTAATATGACAATCATACAAGTTTATTCTTCAATGAGTGATGTAGAAGAAGAGGAAGTTGATGTTTAATGACAAATCCAAGTTGTTATAACAGAGGTGTTGCTTGCGATTGGAGACAAAAAACCAAAGTTGAAAACATGAAAGAAGAAAATATAATTAGGTTATGTGGTTGCCTTGACTATGACTGTCTCACCAAATTTCTCACCAAAATTCTGACCACATAACCAAATCCAATTTTAAAATTCTTTTTATAGCAGTCATTAAGCAAATCAGGCACGTTTAAGTGTAAACGGGTGTTTTTTGCCAGAATCAGACAAAATGGTAAACACTGTCAAAAACCATGGCAAATTTCAGGATATTTCAACCAGTTGTAAATGTGAGCCAGTTGTCAAGCACACAAATTGCAGTTACATGACTGCATGAGTGCATGTGCGCATGTATGACATTTTATGAAGTCCAGAAGCTTTAAGGGCCATAAAACCCTTTCCCAAAGCCATCATAACTTTGAACAATTGTTAAATGACTGATTGTAAATCAAAAACCACTTGTATTGCTTTTACTTACATTAAAATCCTTGTATGATTTTCATATTACTGATCTCTCTATGAATTTGCCAGGGAAGTGCACGTTGTTATTTGTTCTCTCCCTGTTGTCATTGTGACAGGGAGGGCAGTTAATTATTTCTACCATGCGTGTGTTAGGTTCCTTAATAAAGAGCCTGCATGATTCCTTTCTGTGTAAGAAGTCTTGATTATAAACCCAGGGCTATCACTGAGTGATATACTGTGGGCTATACACAGTGATATACTGTGTGATTGTCATATAAGACCAACTGAGAGTGAGTTTCAATTGCTCTCATTTCCTTCAATGGAAGTTATATTTTTGACTGGTTATGAACTTCCTTGTAGAAGGAATAATTAAACAGATTTTTATTAAGCATTAATTATTTAATCTTAATTAAATTAAAACCCTGTCCTTAAAAAAAGGTCAACTTATGACCACAACTGAACCCAAAATTTCTGTTGCTAAATGATTTTGTTAAGTCAGTTTTGCCCTATTTTATGACCTTCTTGCCATAGGTTTTAAGGGACTCACTGCAATTGCTAAGTTAGTAACATGGTTGGTAAGTGAATCTTGCTTCCCCATTCACTTTGCTTGTCAGAAAGTCACAAAAAACTTAAATCATCATAAATATGAATCCGTTGCCAACCATTTAAATTTTGATCATGTGATTCTGCAAAGGTCGTAAGTATGAAAATGGCTATATTACTTTTTGCAGTGCTGTTATAACTACAAACAGTCAAACAATGAACGGTTATAAGTTGAGGACTGCCTGTGTTTAGGACCAAGCAGAAAAAGAAATTGATTTGAGTAAATATAGGTAATCCTCAATTTACAACAGGCTTTGTGACTCCTCCTTGAAGAGGGATGACTAGAAAAGTATTTGCACAGCTTCAGTTTGTGCATCAGCTGTGGCCTTTCCTGGATCAGGACTCTTTTGCTTAGTCACTCAAGCTCTAGTCATCCTCCCTCTGGGCTACTGAAATGTGCTCTACATGGGACTACCTCTGAAATGCATTCGGAAATTTCAGCTGCTCCAGAGTGAGGCAGTGCAAGCAGTTTTGGAGTCTCTAGAATGGCTCTGATGTTCTGTGAGCTGCAGTGGTTCCTGATTTGCTTCTGGGTACAATTCAAGGTAAAATCCTGCATGGCACAGATCTTGGCTACTTAATAAAACATCTTGCCCTGCTAGGACAGCCCTGCCCCATTCATGCTGGCAGGGGGAGCCTGCTGCAGATTCGGTTAGACAGGGATTTTCAGTTGGCAGGATCCAGGAAAAGAACGGTTTTTGCTGTAGTGCCTGCCCTCTGGAACATTGTCTATAATCCTTCCCCAGATGATGTCTGCCCCACCTTCCTGTCCTTTAATCAGAGCTTGAAGACTAGCTGTGCCGGTTGGCCTAGGGACCCAATGGGAAATATCATACTGGAGATGATTGTTAGATTAATAGCAGATCCCACCTCTCCCAGGCAAGCTGCTGTTCCCTTTCCATCTTTTAATCATATTGTTATACTTTCACTGTTTATTTTTATTTTCATTGTTTTCCTGTATTTTAAAAAAAATTTTTTAATGTTTTTTGTTATTATAAACTATTTAGAGTAGTCCCATGATGAGATGCATGGCAAATATATTTCATGAATAAATTAATAAGCTTCTGTTGTCTAGTGTTTATTCACATAGGTCTCTGCAATTTGCACTATAATTTTCAAGTGGTCTTAAAGGCTAGAGCTCCCTATAGCAGTCCAACCAGATGATGAGAACCTGATTTAAAGATCTGTCCTAGATAGGATTCTAGTTGACATACAATTTAGAGATAGGCTCTAAAAGACAAGTTCCACAAGTCAATTCAGCCTTTAACTCTGGAGAGACTCCAGTCCCAGTCCTGCTCTCTTTCCGTAGCAAATACAGTAGCAAAACTTCTAATTTGGATTCATTTTCAACCTCCATCAGGATCCAGATAGACTAATCTGGATCCTGATGGAGGTTGAAAATGAATCCAAATTAGAAGTTTTACTACTGTATTTGCTACGGAAAGAGAGCAGGACTGGGACTGGAGTCTCTCGATAAGCACCAGCAACTCAGATACAATTGGGTATCATCAGTATACAGTTTATACCATTTGAGCTGACCACTCACTACCTTCTCATGACCATCTCATCAACTTTTCCTAGAAATAAAGATCAGAGACAGAGCAACACTTTTCAAATTTGCTTGGGTGCAAAGATGACCTTTTTGGTCTCATATAATCCCCATTAACTTTACCATACATAGTTTTACTATATGCAGTTTTCACAAATTCTAAAAAAGAACTTTTGAAAGTATGTAGTTTTGTTCATACATCTGCTTGATCCTTATAGATAAGAACATAGCAAAACAAAAATGTTTGGCTACAAAACTAGAAGCAAATATGAGAGATATACAAGCTGCTTTTGAAAAAACACAGAAAATAGAAAAGTCCAGAGATGTTGGTAAGAGCAAAGCAAAAGCAATATAGCATAAAATTTTTATACAATTCATCAGATTTTCGTGTAGTTTTTGAAAACAAAGTATAAATTATTGTTCTAATTTGATTTTAGGTAATCAAATCTCACTTATAATACTGTAGGAAGGCACAGCTTTTAATCCCAAATGATCTGTGGCAAACTTCTTCCTTGTGCACATATACCTTTTTTCATACTTATGAGGAGAAATGCCTTTTAGTTTTCAATTAATTATCATCTTCTGTGACATCTGTTTGAGAACTGTTTGGTTTAAAGTCGTCCTCCCCGCCTCTGCCCCCCAGCATGGCATTTGGAGATTGCATCAATGCTATAAGATTCCAGACTATTTGGAAACATTTTTAGTGACAACAGAAAAATCAGTGACAAGAAAATGAAGGATAGACAATTCTTGCTATAGCTTGGCAGTTTGCTGAGGAGAACAATGTAAGAAAGAGTAGAAAATTGTAAAAATTTTGTGTATTGACAGATTTTATGGCCTAAAACCAATAATAACATATATGGAACTATTTAACTACTGTAAATTAAAACAAAATTTAAAAAGTTGACATAAACAGAATTAGGGATAGAGAAACTAAGAAAGGCAAAGCAAGCTGAATTCAACAAGTAGAGGAATACATAAGTTTAGAGCAGTCCAGAGTTGAGAAAATTAAGTTCATGAGGCTTGAAGACCCGACAATAAGCAATGGACCCTTAGTAACTCCTGAAAATAATGTTATTTTAAAAACTCTCTTACAGAATATTTAATTGGGCAGTACTTTCTTGTGTAAAATTAAATATGAAAGAAAATAAAAGCAATAATGCATCCAGAAATATGTCTTTATTAGTCATAGGTTCTTTTTTAAAATACTTTGAAAATAGCCAGGGTGCATATCAGAATATTGTTCTACCTGTTTTCCAAGAATGATAGTTATTATTCACATTTTCTAAGGGAGATATTAATTTATATGTATAGCTGTGCTCATAAGTTTACATACCCTGGCAGAATTTATGATTTCTTGGCCATTTTTCAGAGAATATAATTATAACACAAAATTTTTTCTTTCACTCATGGTTAGTGGTTGGCTAAAGCCATTTATTATGTATTTACTCTTTTTAAATCATAATGACAACAGAAACTACCAAATGACCCTGATCAAAAGTTTACATTCCCCAGTTCTTAATATGGTGCATTGCCCCCTTTAACATCTATGACAGCTTGAAGTCTTTTGTGGTATGTGTGGATGAGGCTCTTTATCTTCTCAGATGATAAAGCTGCCCATGCTTCCTGGCAAAAAGCCTCTAGTTCCTGTAAATTCTTGGGCTGTCTTACATGAACTGCACATTTGAGATGTTCCCAGAATGGCTCAATGATATTGAGGCCAGGAGACTGAGATGGGCACTCCAGAACCTTCACTTTATTCTGCTGTAGCCAATGACATGTCGACGTGGCCTTCTGTTTAGGATCATTGTCATGTTGGAATGTCCAAGTACGTCCCATGCGTAGTTTCTGGGCTGATGAATGCAAATTTTCCTCCAGTATCTTTTGATAACTTACTGCATTCATCTTGCCATCAATTCTGAAATTTCCTGTGCTTTTATAGCTCACACATCCCCAAAACATCAGTAATCCATGTCCATGTTTCACAGTAGGAATGGTGTACTTTTCATCATAGGCCTTGTTGACTCCTCTCCAAATGTAGCGTTTATGGTTGTGGCCAAAAAGCTCAATTTTTGTCTCATCACTCCAAATGACTTTGTGCCAGAAGGTTTGAGGCTTGTCTCTGTGCGGTTGCCATATTGTAAGCGGTATACTTAGTGGCATTTGCATAGTAATGGCTTTCTTCTGGCGACTTGACCATGAAGCCCATTTTTCTTCCAGCTCCTCCTTATTGTGCATCTTGAAACAGCCATACCACATGTTTTCAGAGAGTCCTGTATTTCACCTGAAATTATTTTTGGACTTTTCTTTGCATCCCGAACAATTTTCCTGGCAGTTGTGGCTGAAATTTTAGTTAATCTACCAGAATATGGTTTGGTTTCGACAGAACCCCTCATTTTCCCCTTCTTGATTAGTGTTTTAACACTGCTGATTGGCATTCTCAGTTCCTTGGATATCTTTTTGTATCCCTTTCCTGTTTTATACAGTTCAGCTATCTTTTCCTGCAGATCCTTTGACAATTCTTTTGCTTTCCCCATGACTCAGAAGCCAGAAACATCAGTGCAGCACTGAATGAAAGATGCAAGGGTCTTTTAAGCATCCAGGAACTCATTTACCTTTTATACACACACACTAATTACAAGCAGACAGATCACAGGTGAGGATGGTTACCTTTAATAGCCATTCAAACCCTTTTGTGTCAACCTGTGTGCATGTTATCAGGCCAAAATCACCAGGGTATGTAAACTTTTGATCAGGGTCATTTGGGTAGTTTTTATTGTCATTATAATTTAAAAAGAGAAAACACAATTGATTGATAATAAATAGCTTCAAGCCACCACTAACCATGAGTGAAAGATATGTTTTTGTGTTTATCATTTATATTCTCTGAAAAATGACCAAGAAATCATAAATTCTGCCAGGGTATGTAAACTTATGAACGCAACTGTATTATAGAAGAATTATTTTTGATTTTAAAATTTTTGAATTATTTTGTTGTTTTAATCTGGGATAAGAGTATATGACAAAATACAAATACAATATTTCAGTCTTGTCTGTTGTCTGAATGTTCTCTGATGCCATGCAGAAGATGCAGCAAATGTATGGGTAGTATACCTCAACTTATGACTGGTTGCTTAGCGATCAGTTGAAGTTATGTTAAACTCTTCAAAAACTACTTAAGATCCAGTTTCAAATTTACAGTGGCTGCAACACCCTCACAGTCATTTGTCCTTATGACAACTGCAGGGATGCTGCAATGGTCATACACCCACCCATTCCAGACCACTGAGACCCTGCCCAAGTCAGATTAGGCTGCCGGTAAGTGGGTGTGAATCAACTGGAGCTTGCAAGCCTCCATCTTCCTTCTTATCCAGGAGAGGTCATGGTGGCTGCAGCTTGCAAACCTCCAGTTTCCTTCCCATCGAAGGACTTATGTGACACAGCCTGGTCCAGAGCCCAGCAACATCAAACATATCTTTCTGTTTTTTTTACAGCTTCTGAGAGAAGGCATTCAGCCTGATACAGGATCAGCTTTCTTATAGATCTAACCTCATGGCAAAGTAGGTGTTATTTTTGCAAAGTGGCAAAAAAGGCAGTTGCAAAAACTCCACAAACAAATTGGCCCTTCTTAAAAAATAAAACCTTCTTAAAAAAACAACAGTGCTGAAATATAGTGGGAAAAGAACCTGTTGAAAAATAGCATGGGTTTTACATGAGGCTGAGTTTGTAAGAAACTGAACCTGTATCTGGCTGATTGCCTCTCTCAGAATCAGCAAAAGAAGAAAAAGTTTGATGGTGCTGGGCTCTGGGGTAGGCTAAGCCTGCATATTCTTGGGTGGAATCTCCCTTTGTTTGTCCCTTGCTTATTAAGTCGGAAAGAAGCTGCAGGACTTCAGGGACCCCAAAGGACAACAAGCAGAGCACAGGATGCCTCAAGGAGTAGGGGTAGTCTTGGGAGGCCTGGGACAGGTAACACTGGTCCTGTGTAGTCTTCTCAGGGTGTCCCTCTTCCCTGAGGTACTCTGCCCTTGTTTAATAGTCACACCAGGAAGAGCATGGGGTAGGGTCATTACGTGAGGACATTTCACTTAATGGCCATTGAGATATGCGTCCATAATGGGCAAGCTCCATAACAATTGCATTTCAAGAACCTTGCATTCACTGGAAGTTACCTTAGTTGTCTTACCACATAAATATTTCTTGCCTACTACTACTAGGTCTGGTAGCAGACTTTTAGTAAGTTGCAGCTTGTGCTTTTTAACAAACGTAGTTGGAAAAGGGTGCTAGTAGATTTCTGATATCTTGGCCACCATATACTGACAAGGATCTCTTCCTACATTGTCCTATATTTGATAGAAAAAGAGGGAGAGGAAAAGAGTAGCAGAATTAATGAAAATTCATGATGGGACAGAAGATCATCGCAAGAAGCATTCCTAGTCAATGAAATAGAATAGATAAACTAATATTTTAAGAGATGCATGTATGCTGCCTACCAAACATATGAAACAACAAAAATTAACTGGAAAAACACAATATAATGTCTTCTGGCCATTGTAAGTCACTATTGTGTATCTATGCAACCTTTTTAAATAAGCATTCTTATTACTGAGAGCAAAGTGAATTGGCAAATAATTCCTACCAAGCTTGTTGAATTATTTTATTTGAAAACATACTGAGATTTTTATTATCTTCTTGGTATATATGAATAACAGAATCAAGGCAACAGTTTCAACCACTAGTTAGTCAGAAGACCACTGTAGCTCAACCGTCATATCACCAACTATTGATGGCAAAAATTTCAGCTCTACATATGCGCAAAGCTCCTAGTAAGTACAAAATGTACATAATGTCTGGAAAATGCAAATATTAGAAAATAGATGGGTTACATTCATTAAAATTATAATAGATTAAATTATAATTAATATAGTTTTTGACAGTTCAAATATAAGAAAACATGTAACTCAAAGTTGAACTTAGAACATTTCCTTATCCAGCTAGAACATGATGATATTATAGTTGAATAATGAAATGTTTGCAAGCAAATACCCAAGCTCAGAGAATGCACAGAACTCACAGTTACTAAAGGCTAATTTAAAGATCAGTTGTGCATTATATGTAACAAGGAAAGTGTTAAGATGTAATGCCCATTTTGCAATTTTTATAAATGTCATTTCTAATAACAAGTCATAATTTTTAACTTTTCCATTTTGAAATATTCCATTTTGAAGTTTTCACAGCAAATGAAATTCTTGGTCATTTTCTCTCTCCTCCATACAGTACAATTAAGTTCTGATGGTCAAAGTATTAATTAGACATCTCTAGCTTACAGTTTTCAGCAAAAGTTCCTGTTCCTCTTTGCTTTTTGTGGCCATAATAATACACTTTTTAGGCACAAATTTTCTAAAATCAGCACGCTATAATCAATAAAAGATGTGAGTTAGGCACTAGTTACATCCTTTCCTAGACCAACATTCCCTTTTTACAGTCACCTATAACCTAGTAACCTCTCATTTGGAATACTGTAATGTGTTCTACATGGGACTGCTTCTGAAGAATATCTTGTAGGTTCAATTGGTTCAAAATGCATTTATGTCTATGTAATCTGTTTTGCAGCAGTTATATTGATTACCACTTTGCTTCAAATGCAATTCAGGATAGTGGTTATCATATTTAAAGTCCTACAGCTTTTAAGGTCTACTTAAAAGAACTGCCTCTCCCTAGTTACATCTACTCAGCCCACCAGAATGGGAAGCAAGAGATGTTACAGGTCCCATCTGTTAAGGAAATATTTCCACTGGGATCCAGAAAAAAAGCCTTTCTCTGTGGCAGTTCCCTCCCTTTGGAATATCATTCCTTCAGAGGTACGATTTTTCCCCACCTTGGTATTTTTCTTTAAGGCCCTGAAGTTCTGTCAGTGGGCCTAAGGACCATAAGTTGATATGAAGCCAATCAAGGTTGGCGTGATTAAGCCTCATTGGGTGGGGGAAGTTACTCTGTGGAATTGTAATCTTAACAAAGATTCCCTGATGTCAGGCACTTCATATTGGGGAAGAGCGTACGATTTTTATGAGTAGGTCTTGAAGGGATAATATGCCTGGGCCAAGATTACAATAAAATCTAGTCACTGAAAGAGGAATTCTTTGTTTACAAGGACCCACAGTCAGAACATAGTGTGAGAAGCATGAATCAAGAAAACCTGAAATTGCCAAAGTAAATTATACTTCACAAGACTGGGAGAAGGAGAAAGGGAAGACAATAGATAGGATGTTGGGTCAGACATTGGAATATCCTTGGAAAATCATGCTATTATTGGAAACAGATGACAAGAGATCTTTCTCTATAGTGATCAGGAACGAACCCCAGCTCAGGAGCCCTTAGTTTACTACAATGTACAACTTACAGATAATGTTCCAGTTGGTGAATTAGTCCTCAGACATCAGTTATAAACTTTTTAATATTAGCAATGACTTATAAGGTAGATCAGATTAAGAGACAGGTACTGTGTGGACTAGGGGTGTCAAACTCAAGGCCCAGGGCCTCTGTCAGCCCTCTTGAGCTCCATTTTCACTGGCAGAGTGTTGCAGGTGGCTGTTGCAGCCAAAAACGGAGCTTGAAAACCTATTTTAACTGATAGAGCACTCAGGCCACCACAGGCGCCCCCAACACAAGTGACATCAAATTGGCCATGCCCACCCTGGCCACACTCATCCCAGCTGCCCAAAGTCAAAAACAACCCTGATGCGGCACTCAGTGAAATTGAGTTTGACACTCCTGGTGTAGACATAAAGCTAAAGCTACTTTTATTAAAACAGCTACAGAAGCAGAAACTAGATATCGACAATTTTTCATATGGCAATATGTTTTCCTCTTTCCCTATTTAGTCTTTATTTTCTCCAGGCTTAGGAAGGTGAGGCATTTGAGTTATTTTCTAAAAACCACCTTCTTAGTCTAAACTTAGTTTGTTTATCTCATTGTTGGTTTAGTAACAGATCTTCCCTCTGGCTTTCAAGACCATCCTCTAGACTCAGTAGAGATGTTTAGATAGAGATGTTTTCTCTCCATCATTCCTTTTAGTGATGAGAAGTATCAGACATGAAGAGACAAGCCTAGATAGTACAAAATCAGAGGAAAGACCCACTAGTTCTCTCTTAGAGGAGCGGAGCAAAATTCTAAGTAAGTAATGACTTTCTAGATATACCTTTTATTTGGACCTAACCGAATTTTTAGAGAGTTAGTATGTAAATCATCTGTAACTTGTTAGATTGCTGATTTTCAAAATATGTTTATATGTACTGCAGAATAAAAATGCAAAATTGCTTTATGCCTATATAAAAACATTTGTTTATAAATATATATACAAATTATTTTTTAAATTCATAAAGAATGTTTTGGTGTCCCTGCAATAACCTAATATAATGCTTTTCCTTCCAGGCAGGGAAGTAGATATGTCAAGTAAAAGCAAACTTAGCACACAATCTTTGCAAAAAATATCTAGTCTTTTTCCATTTGATATCAGCAAGTTTTCTGGTAAGTATATAGATAAATATTTTGAGTAAAATTGGGAATGTACATAAAGAAAAGGTCCCAATTTGGACTTTGAATAAAGGAGAAAAAAGAATTTTGAGATTTGGGTATATATGTTAAAGAAAGAAAAAGTTTAAGCCTTTTTTTAAAAAAAGAAACAAAAGTAGAGTTCCATTCTACTTATGAAAGAATGGCACCTTATCACCTAATTGTTAACATTTCTTTGGATGAAGACTGTATATCTGCATTTCATTCCTAAAATTCTTGAGGCAGTGGTGGTATTCAGCTGGTTTGCACTGGTTCAGGCGAACCAGTAGCGATGATTTGGCGTGGGTCCCCGAACCAGTAGTGACTTCCGGCTGGCCATGCCCCTGACATGGTTATCCGGTTGCTGCTCACTTGCTTGCCCTGCCCACCTGATGCTTCCTCACCCCGCCTGCCTGATGCTCGCCTCGCCCAGTCACTCCTCACCTCCTATGCGGCACACTGGGTCCTTGTGGCTTGCCTTTAACCTGCCTTCCCATGTAATGTCTGTGCCCCAACTGAGTAGCCCTGATCTGCCTACTCATAGGTAAGCCTGAGAGTTGCGCTATCCCCCCCACCGTTCCTGGATCTTCCTGGCCCTACACCATTCCCGGATCTTGCTGCTGCCCCCCACTATCCTTGGAGCTTGTGGAGGGCCCCCCACCATCTCCAAGTTCTGCTGGCTGGTTTCCCCACCAGTGTGGCCCCATTCTGAGAGGCAGCACTGGCTGGGGCCTACTTAGCTGTTCCCCCCACTGTTCCTGACCTCAGCTGGCTGCCTAAGCCGCCACTTGGTGCTCTCCCAGCTCACCCTACCATGTGGTGGCCATGGCGCAGTGAACTGTGGTGGATGTGCTCTGACACAGGGAGGGCGGGTACTCCTTGGGCTGCCTCTTGTAGCAGCTCCCCGCCTCCGCCCACTTCCTTTCATCACCTGGAAGAAGCAAGTGGCGGCAGAGGTGCTTTGAAAGGGAGGGCGGGGACTTCTGAGACTGCCTCCCATAGCAGCACCTCTGCCGCTACTGTAGTCACTCACTTTCTGCTTTCTCCTGGGGTACGTGCCACTTCCAGCAGGTGGGTGTATGGCCCTTGGGAGACATCTCCGCTGAGCTGGGGCTGAGAGGGGTGTTGGAGGTGCACGTGTGCAGCAACCCTGATACATCCGCCCACTCCACCCTTCTGGAATATTGCTGCCATAACCACTTACTTTCTGCCTTCTCCCGGGAGAAGAAATGAACAAAGCAAGCAGCCAAGGCGGCTCCATGCTCCATCCCCCACCCCGCCGCTCACTTTCTGCCTTCTTGCACCGCCTGCTACTCTGGATCTTGCTGATCATTTTGTCCCAGTCATACCAGGTGTGTGTGTGTGTGTGTGTGAGAGAGAGAGAGAGAGAGAGAGGTGTGTGTGTGTGTGTGTGTGTGTGTGTGTGTGTGTGTGTGTGTGTGGTGTGTTTACATGCAATTCAATATCTATAGTCCAGAGCATTTTGCTCTACAAATGATTGCATTTGGGATTAAATCAATACTGATTTTCCAGGAGGGATTTGTGAGTAATATTTGGTGGCTCCTGCTTATATTTTCTGTTTAGACTTTTGTACACATCCTTGGAAAGACTATTAATGCCAGTAGTACTGTAGTTTTCTCCCCCTTTAGTTCTCTTGAGATGGGGAGGGAGGGAGGGAGGGAGGGAAGGAGAGGGAGAGAGATGGAGATGTGGCTTTTGGGGAGTGCATTTTGGAGAAGTATCAATAGAAATGCTAAAAGGGCAATCAGTTTGGGATTAAATTCCAAATGAAATTGGGTCTTCAGGATAAGAAGACATGAAGAACTTTCAACTGCAGGTTTCTAAAAGTCTTATTAGGATATTAATCTCATGTTTTAAATAAGATTTTTAGAAGCTTCCAGTTGAAATACTGAAATGGTATAGGGTTCCCCCCAAGGTCCCTTCTAAGTGGTATTCTGTTATTCTGACACCTTTATACTCTACTCAGATTTTGGCATCCTCAGTTTTCCTCCTGAGCAGGGGGTTGGACTAGAAGACCTCCAAAGTCCCTTTCAACCCTGTTATTTCTCAGCTAAATAGCTAAGAGTCTGAGGATGCCAAAATCTGAGTAAAGGTCCTGGGAAAGATGTCAGAATAACAGAATAACACTTAGAAGGGACCTTGGGGTGAATCCTATACCATTTCAGAGAAATGGCTGTCCAGCCTTTTCTTAAAAACCTCCAGTGATTGAGCACCCAGAACTTCTGGAGACAGGCAGTTCCACTGGTTAATTGTTCTCACTGTCAGGAAGTTTCTCCTTAATTTTAGGCTGCTTCTGTCTTTGTTCAGTTTCCATCCAATGCTTCTTTTTGCCTTCTGGTGCTTTGGAAAATACATTGCCCCCTCTTCTTTCTGGCAACCCCTTAAAAGCCTGTTGCCTATCACACTCTTGGGCAAAGCATGTGAGCCATTTCCTCCTTTCAGTGGTCCATGAAAGTACATCTGTAGTATGTAGATAATAAAGTAAAACAAGGGTGAGGAATATTTTTACAGAACTATAGATACATTGAGGCTGGGTGTGATAAGGCATGGCTGGGAGGGGCGGGCCAGGCCCTTGATGTGAGTGACATTGAGTTGGCCATGCCCATCCAGTCACATTACCGCCAAGCCATGCCCACCCAGTCACATGACCAACAAGCCATGCCCACTAAGTAAGCTGGTAATAAAAAAATATGAATCCCACCACTGTCTTGAGGATATAAAATATTGCAGTAGCAAAGCAGAAGGAAAACTATAAATGAACAAGCAAAAACGTCTCCTTTTTTTTTCCTGGCCAAAGATTATCCTTGTTATAAATCATAGATATAGGACAGAGATCAAAGATAAAGAATAAAAAGATGAAAAAACAAGATCGTGTAAAAATCAAAGTCAACTTTTAAAATATATTTTATCCTGATAGTATATTGTTTGAGCAGTTCAATCAAGAGAGATTAAAATACTTCAGCAAACTGTAAATTGCACCGTTTGCCTAAGGGCTTATATCTAAAATTCTTCAGTTATATCTAAAATATGGTCGAGTGAATATGTAGGAGCAACTGCAGATAAATAATAAAATAAGATAGATCAAACTGGTAAGAATCATAGTTAAATTTTGTCTGAAGCAACATGAATAATTATAGAATTATTCCTGCTTTGGTCTTCTGTTTCTAGGACAAAATGCTGAACTTATATTAATTCACATATTATAGTATAGTTTACTGTGAAAATAGAAATATTATTGCCAAATGCATCTAAATAAAGATACATACCCCCTTTAATTCATGGACATGATAAAATCAGATCAAAGCATTACAGTAGACAGACTTATTGATAAAATGCAGGGATTTTTTTTTTTAACCTTTAGTTCACCTTGTTGTTTTCAGCTGATATTGCATTGCACGAATTACTAGAATACAACAGGACTCTGCTTCCAGGCCATAAAGCAAATCTTCAGCATGCATGGCAACTTGCACAGCGAAAGATACTACAACAACAAGCTAATCTTGGTAGGTTATTTGGTTAATGATGTATACAAATATGCATTCATGCATATGCATTATTACACGCCCAGGAAACCAAATGAATGTTTCTTTTCTGTTGTGAATAACTCAGTTTAAAAATCTAGCAAAGTCTGAGGAGTTAGATTTTTTTAATTTTTAAAAAAGTCTTTATTAGTCAAATTCTACAATTAAAAACAAAACATACTTCCATTCATTTCAGTATGTCTGTAGTGGCGTTCACTCCCATTGATATATTCTTAAGTATGTAGATTATTACTAAATATTATTACAATTATTTTACATTCAATTTATAGCATATTTTCATATATTTACATAGTTATTTACATAATTATACGTAGTTATACTTAGTCATGCAATATTATTTCACCTCACCATAACCTTAACCATACAATATTATTTCATCTCACCATAACCTTTCGTTCATTTCTCTATTTTGTGTCTGCCTTGCAACCAATTATACTATAGATTCCAGATTTCATGATACTCTGTCTGTTCTCTCTCCTTCATTTCCATTGAAAGCCTATCCATTTCTGCACACTCTAAAACCATTTTTATTATCATAATGTCGGAGGGAATATTGTCACATTTCCAATTCTGGGTTGCAGTTATTATATGTAATATAATATATTAGAATTTCTTACTAATTTTATCTCTTAATATACCCAATAGGAATATCTCTGGTCTCAATTAAATTATCACGGTCTCTTTTACTGCTTCTTCCATTCAGTATCTTAGGAGATAATTATACATTTTGGTGATCATTTTTTCATCTGTCCCCTGTAATATTTTGTCTAATTCTGGCTGATCTTTATGTATACCAAATTCTTCTATATCTTTCTTATATCTTGTTTGAATTTGTAGATAAGGCCACTAGTCTATTTTTATCCCTTGTTCCTTCATTTCTTGATTGGTTTTCAATTTTCCCAGTTCATTCAGTAATTCTTTATATTACACTATTTTATCTATCTATGGTAGATAGCCAAATTGAGATCTTCATGTAATGGTCCCTCTTAATTTTCCCCCAAACAGATAATACATAAGTCTTTAACTTTGTGTCTCTAGAAGTATGAATATAGTGTATTTTTCCCTTCCTGAGTGGTTAGATATTTTGAATGGCCACCCCAAACTGTTACAGAAGCCCAAGAAACCAGAGACAAAACAATCTGGAGGCAATGTGGAGTAGATCTTTTTCATGATCTCTTCACATTACACAAATGGGTGATTGACATGTTACTTGCAGAAGATAGATTAGGTGTCTATTGAAGCATGGGACATTAAATGAAAGCAAGTTTTAGTCCTTTTTTAAATTCTTGGCAATGATGTAACACAAACATTGACTGCTTAATCATGGCATTATTATTTAATGTTCCTGAAGAGAAATGCATTAAAGGAAAAGCAATAAAATGATTATCATGGTCATTGTCTAGTGGTGGCAGTCCTGCAATTTTATTTTGGAGAGACTCTGTGTGGAAATAGGACAAGCATAACTAACCAAATAAAGAAAATTAAAGAAGAGTATTATGTTCAGTATGAAAGAGAGACCTCTGTAAATACCTATGTAAGTTATAATGATATTATGCTAAAGTAATGGAAGGTCCAGTAAGAAAGGAGGCAAAATAATAGAAGATGCCAAGCAAAATTCCATGTAGGTTCTGCACTCATATACATTGTCCAGAGGCAAAGAACCACATGGGAAGCTTAAAATTCTCTGTATGTTTAAAAAAAGTATTCAAGTTATTTCCAATTTTATCCTCCAATATTCTGAGAGTATAATATGCGATATGAAAAACAAACTAATTGGAAGTTAATACTACATGAAACATCCCTTTTTCAACTTTATTTTTTTATATATTTACAAACATTTTGCCCATTATTTTGATTACTATTCTAGTTAGAATCTGAAATTTTAATCAGAATATGGGAATATATAGCTTACATTTTCTTATTTTTAAAAATCTGATCTTCTTAGCCTTATTTTTCATTAGAATTGCATTTTTCCATTCACATTGTTCTCTTAGAGATTGTGTTGTGTTTTAATTTGTAGCTGAAAAGTTCAGAAGCTTGTCAGTGTTTCTGCCTCAACCAGGTGGCACTACTAGGTTCCACGATTATTCTGTCCATCCTTCAAGACCAGGTAATCCATATAGTTGACTTAGTGAAATTAATTCTGAAATTTATTTACTAAAAAATGAATATTATATTCTAGATATTATGGATGTGTTAATTTTAAAGATAACTGTGGTTAATAGATGGTTAATAAAAGAGAGTATGGATTTATGGCACATAATGTCATTTCTAGTACTTCAGACGCTTGTGTTTTTCAAATAGCATTCCCTGGAATCCTATAGCTTTGCCTCTTGATCAGGAGTTCCAGGTTTAATGTTTTTCAAAAAACTAACAAGCTCCCTGGGGAAAAAAAATGAAACTCCCTGAAATAGTCTAACTTAATGAACTCCAGATGTTTTTGATTACATTTTCCATATTATTATAAACATCTATGAGGCAAAAAGCCTTACCGGATACTTTTAATTGTAGAGATTTTTAACAATACTATCTTAGAATATAGAATAGAACAGAACAGAACAGAATAGAATAGAATAGGCCAAATGTGATTTGGACACAATCTGTCTTACTGCAAATTCTCTCAATGTACATAAAAGAAAAGATACTTTCATCAAGAGTCAAGAATCATAAGGTACAACACTTAATAATAGTCATAGGGTACAATAAGCAATCAAATCATACTAGGAAACAATCAATATAAATCATAAGTATACAAGCGACAAAGTTACAGTCAAACAGTCACAAGTGGGAAGGGATGGGCAATAAGGAGTGATGAGAAGATTAATAGTAACAGTAATGCAGACGACAGTGTTGAGGGAATTATTTGTTTAGCAGAGTGATGGCATTTGAGAAAAAAATGTTCTTGTGTCTGGTTGTTCTGGTGTGCAGTACTCTATAGCATCGTTTTGAGGGTAGGAGTTGAAACAGTTTATGTCCGGGATGTGAGGGGTCTGTAAATACTTTCACCGCCCTCTTTTTGACTCATACAGTATACAGGTCCTCGATTGAAGGCAGGTGGGTAGTAATTTTTTTTTCTGCAGTCCTAATTATTCTCTGAAGTCTGTGTCTGTCTTGTTGGGTTGCAGAACCAAACCAGATAGTTATAGAGTGCAGATGACAGACTCAACAATTCCTCTGTAGAACTGTATCAGCAACTCCTTGGGTAGTTTGAGCTTTCTGAGTTGGTGCAGAAAGAACATTTTTTGTTGTGCTTTTTTTATGATGTTTTTGATGTTAGGCGTCCATTTTAGGTCTTGTGATATAATAGAATCTAGAAATTTGAAAGTCTCTACTGTTGATACTGTGTTGTCTAGCATTGTAAGAGGTGGTAGCATGGGAGGGTTTCTTCTAAAGTCTACCACCTACTCTATGGTTTTGGGTGTGTTCAGTTCCAGATTGTTCTGACCACACCACAAGGCAAGTTGTACAATCTCCTGTCTGTATGCAGATTCGTCATTGTCTCGAATGAGACTAATCACTGTTGTATCATTTGCAAACTTCAGTATTTTAACAGATGGATCATTTGAGATGCAGTCATTGGTATATAGGGAGAAAAGAAGTGGAGAAACCACACAGCCTTGGGGGGGCGGGGGGACTGTGCTAATTGTACATATAATAGTACATAGAATAATGGAGTTGGAAGGTACCATGGAGGTCTTTTAGTCCAACCCTTGGCTCAACTAGAAGACCTCAAAGATTAAATCTTTAGATTTGAAGAATTTGTAAACTCACACCCCAGTTCTTTAAAATGTGCATTGTATATAATAACATCCTCTAAAACCTGTCTATATGCAGAATTTAATAGTAAGTAGTAGTTTTATTTTATATTTATATTATTTTATACTGTTTTAGCTTTTGAGCCAGTGTTGACTCTTAGAGACTACATGGAAAAATTAATACAACTTTCTGGGCAATATTTTTGGAAGTGCACTGTTATAGTTTTCCTCCTAGGACTCAATAGATATTATTTTAAAAATGCCTTTTTGTAATAATAGTTACATCTTAAATGCAAAATTTTGTGTCAGATAGCATATACAAATCTGATTCTTTAAACACCTAAGTTGATTTGCTAATTATGAGCATATAAATGCTTTTATACATTTTTTTCTCATTATCCTATGATAGAATAGAATAGAATAACGGACCTGAGAGGTCTTCTAGTCCAACCCCCGGTTTAGGCAGGAAACCCTACACCACTTCAGACAAATGGTTATCCAACATCTTTTAAAAAACTTCCAGTGTTGGAGAATTCAAAACTTCTGGGGGCAAGTTGTTCCACTGATTAATTGTTCTAACTGTCAGGAAATTGCTCCTTAGTTCTAAGTGGCTTCTCTCCTTGATGAGTTTCCACCCATTGCTTCTTGTTCTGCCTTCAGGTGCTTTGGAGAATAGCTTGACTCCCTTTTCTTTGTAGCAACCCATGAGATATTGGAACACTGCTATCTTGTCTCCCCTTAGACCTTCTCTTTGTTAGACTAGACATACCCAGTTCCTGCAACCATTCTTCATATGTTTTAGCCTCCACTTCCCTAATCATCTTTGTTGCTCTTCTCTGCACTCTTTCTAGAATCTCAACATCTTTTTTACACTGTGGCAACCAAAACAGAATGCAGTATTCCAAGTGTGGCCTTACGAAGGCATTATAAAGTGGTATTAACATTTCACATCATCTTGATTCTATCCCTCTGTTTATGCAGCCTAGAACTGTGTTGGCTTTCTTGGCTGCTGCTGCACACTGCTGGCTCATATTTAAATGGTTGTCCACTAGGACTCCAAGATCACTGTCACAGTTACTACTATTGAGCAAGGTGCCACATATACTGTACCTGTGCATTTGATTTTTCTTGCCTAAATGTAGAACCTTACTTTTTTCACCATTGAATTTCATTTTGTTAGATAGTGCCCAATGTTCAAGTCTGTCAAGATCCTTCTGTATCTTAAGCCTATCTTCTGGAGTGTTTATTTCTGCTAGCTTGTGTCATCTGCAAATTTGATGAGTTCTCCATTTTATCACCTTTTCCAAATCATTGATGAAGATGTTGAGAGTACAGGCCTAAAACAGAGCCTAAAATAGTTCCCTCCATGCAGATGCAGTTTCATTGAGGACTACACATTGAGTGTAGTTGGTCAGCCAGTTATGATAGTAAAGCACACATTTTAAACCAATTTTGATTCAAACATATACCAAGATAAATATTCCGAATGGATAAATGAGATTTTTTTCAACTCTAAATTTGTTAAGAATGGCACATTTTATATCTTCTTAGTCTCTTTTATCTTTTGAATACTAAGAAATGTAAAGAATTACTAATTGTTACAATAAAACATACTTTTAGCATTCTTAAAATTCAGGATAGAGTCAAAATAATGTTACATTGATCATCTTTATATATTTCCATGTAGCATGGGAAGCAAACCAGTTAAGCCAAAAGGGCTACCCCCAAAAGCTGACTTTCTTAAAGAGAAGACTATTGGGAGCAGAAATAAAAAACAATATAAAAGGTAATAACTCAAATGTCAATTATACCTTCTAGATTTTGAGAGAGAAAATGTAAAACAGTACTATATTCATGAAATTGTCTTTAAAATATATTGTAGGGAAAGCATGCTTCTCTTTGCTAGGTAGCATAATTAGAACTGGAGGCCTTCTTGTCCAACTCCTTGCTCAAGCAGGAAATCCTATACCATTTCAGACAAATGGTTGTCCAATCTTTTCTTAAAAACCTTCAGTGTTGGAGAATTCACAAGTTCTGGAGGCAAGTTCCACAGATTAATTGTTCTCAATGTCAGGAAACAGTTTTGTGTTCTACAGGATTTGTAGACTATGGTTTACATTATCTTTAGGAAGGGCTTCTGCCAAAAGATGGACTGCACCTTTGAAGGGAAGAATGTGATTGGAAACCACTGGCTAGGCTCATCTGAAGGGCTTTAAATTAAAAATGGAAGGGGAGAGTGTCCAATCTTTAAGACCAGAACCAAGCATAAACTCCAAGGCAACAAATCAGCCAGTGAGGAAGGAAGTGGTTACAAGGAAGGGGAATACTTCTTAAAAAAGCTCTCCTCTGCCATAGCAGAATCCCTAAGCATTATATATGATATATCATTCAAAACCAGCTCCTTACCGAACCTATGGTCCTTAGCTACGGTCATCCCTATCTTCAAAAAAGGTGACCCCAGCCTGGTTGAAACCTACAGACCAATCTCACTGTGTTGTGTCACGTGCAAAGTCATGGAATCAATCATTAACCAATTCATCACCCTCCACTTAGAGTCAAACAACTTTCTCTCCCAAAAACAATTTGGTTTCAGGAAAAAATTGTCCTGCAACCTACAACTCCTACACTGCAAAAATATATAGACTACTCTACTCGACCAGGGTAAAGCAATAGATGCAATTTACGTTGACTTCTGCAAAGCCTTTGATTCAGTGGTACATGACAAACTACTGTTAAAACTAAACTCTTACGGCATTTCTGGATCCCTTCATAAGTGGATTACTGCATTCCTGTCAAACAGGCAACAAATAGTAAAAATAGGGAGCACTATATCAAATCCTGCTCCAGTCAACAGTGATGTCTCCCAAGGCAGCATTTTAGGACCCACATTCTTTATACTCTAGATCAACTTATAAGCAACTGCGTCCTCTTTGCGGATGGTGTAAAACTATTCAATACCAATGAAAATGCTACTGTTCTTCAAAGTTACCTTGATTCTGTGTCTGAATGGTCAAACATCTGGCAACTCCAAATCTTGACCAATAAATGCTCTGTCCTATACATTGGTAAAAAAAATCAGTTCACCAAATACAAGCTAGGCGGATATGACCTCATTGATGACCCTCACTCTGTCAAGGACCTCGGTGTACTCATATCTAATTATCTAAGTGCTAGAGCTCACTGTAACAGCATTGCCAAAAAGACATTAAGAGTTGTAAATCTAATCTTACGAAGCTTCTCCTCTGAAAATATTGAATTGCTAAATAGGGCATTCAAAACTTTGCTAGACCAATACTCGAATACAGCTCATCTGTCTGGAATCTGCACTGTATATCGGCCATTAATACAATTGAGCGAGTCCAGAAGTATTTCATGAGAAGAGTACTACACTCCTCTGTTCTCAACAGAATATCCTATACCACCAGGCTTGAAATTTTGGGCTTGGACGCCGCATATAGTTGGACTTAAGTGTAGTACACAAAATTATCTGCTACAATGTTCTACCGGTCAATGACTACTTCAGCGTCAAACGCAACAATACAAGAGCACACAACAGATACAAACTCAATGTTAACTGCTCCAAACTTGATTGCAGAAAGTACGACTTCAGCAACAGAGTGGTCAATGCCTGGAATGCACTACCTGGCTCTGTTGTTACATCCTCTAACCCCCACTTCTTTAACCTCAAACTAACCACTATTGACCTCACCCCATTCCTAAGAGATCTGTAAGGGGCATGCATAAGTGCACCATCATGCCTCCTGTCCCTGTCCTATTGTCCCCATTTATTTGTACCTATTTCCTGTATTTTTTTTTCTTTTGTAAATTTTATTTGAGTTTTCACAAAGAGAAACGAAATACAAATAAAACATCTTTTTTGAAAGCAGCATGATCCCGGGTTACATTTCTTCGTACAGACGCAAATTCAGGTTCATGCTCATTTTTATATTCTATTCCATATCTTATTACTATTTTACATTTTCTACATATCTTCTCCCCTCTTTTAACTTTCTCAATTTTATTTTATTTATGTCATCTCAATTCAAATCATTATATTTATATTTTTTGTCTGTCCTGTTTCAATTGTCTATTATCTTTTCTCATTAAGCAAAATTTTTCCTGTAATTACTGATTGGAGTATGACTCCTTTATATCTTCCCCCTAAAGTTGTAGCACTCAACATAACTTCCATTCAGATTCTGCTTGGTACATTCTTAAACTACACACTGTATTCTTGAAATAAATAAATAAATAAATAAATAATAATAATAAATGTATATAATTAAAACAACATTCCATTCCAATACAATTCTGTCATTAATATTAATATTCATTAAAGTCTTAACATTTTTCACGTTACTTTTCAATTAAATATCATGCTTCTGTGGGAACCATTTTAAACTTTCCATAATTAATTCCCCCCCTTCACTTATATTTTATAAAACATTGACTAATTAAAATGTTCCTTCCTAATTCAATTTTCTCATTTATTTTATTTCATTTATTTTATTCACAAACATTTCACTAAACTAACTATTTTATCTCTCATTTTAATCATATGTTGTTTCCAATTTTCAAAAGTTATTTCTATTACAAATATAACAATACAATCTTATGTACCTTTACAGAATCCCTTTTTCAGTTAGAGTTTCATCCATTATCTCTAAATAGGTCCTGTTTCTTTATATCTTGCTCCGGACCTTTGATTTTTCTGATTTCTTATTTAAGTCTCTTAGCTGTCAATATAGGGAAACAGAGAGAAGGAAAAAAAGCCAAACCTTTCTCCTTTCACTTTCTTTCACTGCTTCTGACTCTTCTTTGGGAGCGATCTTATTTTTTGTAAAATTTTGTAAAATTTAGATTCCAGGGTATCTTAGTTGTTGCTTTTTCAACTTAACCTGGTCAGCCAAAACTTTCCCTTCTTATCTTCCTCCTGCACGTTCTTTTCCAGTTGAGTTCTTCTTTGAGGTGGCTATTTCTGACCACCGCTCCTACCGCCTTCGGGAAAGGGAGTAATGGCCAGCTGAGGAGGAGAGATGCGGCTCTCCTCAACCCTCCTGGTGGTCTCCCCCATCTTCACCACCTCTACAGGGTGGCTTAGCCCGAAACCAGCCGGCTCAGGGTGCTCCGGCGGCGAGCCCAGACAGAAACCGCGCACGATTGCAGATTCCTGTCTGTCGCCGAAGCCCTTCAAACTGGAAGTCCCTATTTCCTGTATTCTTACTCATGTTTATATTTATACCTATTATCTTGTAAGTGATTGACAAATCAAATAAAATAAATAAAAAATAAAAATAAATAACAGGTATAAAATAGGAGACCTGGAAGCAAACACAGGATCAGCCATAAAAAGTTCAGAAACTCTGAGAAATGAGATTATTAAAGCCCAAACACAATACTTCAGAAAAAGAAAAAAAGAGAGACCCCCAGATGAAGCTAGCATGGTGGCATAAAGTGCTCTCTGACAAACCATGGGACAAAAAGGGCAAATATAAAAAATGAAAAGAGGGGCACACAGGAAAACAGAATACTCTAAATAGCTTGAATTTGCAAAGAGAGATCCAAGAAAGATAAGGTTCAGAATAAAATAAGACTCGAAACAAATATAAAAAATAACAACAAAAAGTTTATTTCAATATGTAAATAATAAGAAAGTCGAGGAAATGATAGGTTGGCTAATCTGAGAAGATGGCCAGTGACAGGCATCAGGGAGAAAGTGGAACTTAATTACTGTTTTGCATCTTTCTTCATGCAAAAGGAAAATATAGTCCACCTTATCACAAGCATCATCATGAGATAGAACAGCAGCAGGTCAAAATAGGCAAAAAAATAGTAAGAGAACTCTTTTCCACCTTAGGTGAATTTAAATCACCAAAACGGGATGGTTTACATCCTAGAGTTCTGAAGGCGCTGACAGATGTGATCTTGCAACCAATGAACAAAATCTTTCAGAGTGCCTGGAACACAGGGCAACTGCCAGAGGATTGGAAAAGAACTGATATGGTTCCAATTTTCAAAAAAAGGAGCTTGGCATCAATACTCAGGAAAATTCTAGAAAAAATAAGCAGCAGATTTGTAAGCACCTATAAATGATGGGTCTGGCGGCTAAACCATAAGAGGAGCAATGAAAGGAAATAGGTATGTTTAGCCTAATGAAGAGAAGGATTAGGGATGACATGAAAGTGTCTTCTAATACTTGAGAGGCAGACCAGTGATGGTATTTAGCAGGTTCTGACCAGTTCTGGAGAACCAGTAGTGGAAATTTTGAGTAGTTCAGAGAACCGGCAAATCCCACCCCTAACGGGAGATTTTATAATATCCTTCCCCTGCTACGCCCACCAAGCCATGCCCACAGAACTGGTAGTAAAAAAAATTTGAATCCCACTGCTGGGGCAGACATAGAGAAAATGGAGTTGACTTATTCTTCAAAGTACCTGAGAGCAGGATAAGAAACAATGAGGGGAGAGGGAGGCTCATCAAAGAGAGATCAAATCTGAGAGATCCCAGGCTACACCTGGAGCAAATAGTCAGAATCTTCTTTCAGTAGAAAAGTACTAAAGTACCAAACTTTGCTTATCCATATTTTTTGTAATTAAATCTATCTCTGTTATAATTATAAAAATCTGTTTTCATTCGTCATTGGTTAGATCAGATTTCCAATCTTAGGAACTCTCCTATTCACACACTTCAATTCAGGCTTATATGAGCATAGGTCTATAATACTAAACTTAGCAATATGTGGAAACATATTGTAGTGAGCTCCTAAAAGTCCTTGTTTTCAACGTGAGTCTAATGGCACTGCAGTATTACTAAAGCTTTACTGAAGGACATCAATAATAGAGGGGAAAAGAAATAATAAAAACAGATCAGGCTTCATGGCAGTTTCAAGGCAATTTTTGCATGGATTGAATCTGCACTGCAAGAGAGTTGAATAGATTGTACTTTAAAATGGTAACATAGCTATTTATCTTCATAAAATATTTGCATTAAAATTATAATATTTGCATTCAATTATACTATAAAGTTGACTAATATTTTGCCTATCAAAAATACAATTAAATATCAGGTAGCAGGTAAAGTCTTAATTTGTTATAGTAAAATAATGAACTTTTATGTTTATCATTAGGGACCAGTTATTCTTCAGCCCTTCAAGGACTAACTACTCAAGTTCAAGATTTGGTAAGTAACCATCGCTCATGTAGAAAGTAATAAAATAATTCTGTAGTTGATATATGGAAGGGGCTACAGGTAGTCCTTGAGGTGTGGAAGGCCATTTAATGGATGTTCAAAATTATGACAGACCCTCCAAAAAACTACATATGACCCCACCTCATTTCAAAGTTATGTTGGCTGCCATGGGGCTGTGGCCCTTATGACCCACCACAGGTAGTTGCAGTGCCCTCCTGCATCTTTCCCCCAACCTACCTTGCTGGAATCTTGCAGCCCCTGGGCCTCTTCCCCACATGTCTATCACAGCTCACACTTGCCTTTTAAAGTTCTTCAGACCTCAGGTTGTGGAAGGCGGGCAGGCCACGAGTCCCCAGGCCATGCAGCAGTGATCTAAATGTAGCCTTCAAATCAGAATCATAGAAATATATATTATACCTAAACCATCTTTGAAATTTTGATGTCTAATGTGCTATTTCATGAATATTTCATTTTTTAATAAATTGATAAGTACAAATGATGCTTATAGCCTATGGAATCATGCTGTCTCCCAAGAAAGCAGTTGAGAACAATGTAAAATAACATATGTTCCATGATCTTTTAGAACACATTTAAAAGTTTCAAGTGTTGCAGGAAACTATGTATAAGAAAAGTACCTTTGCACCTTTGTTTCTATGACTGTAGCATATAGGACAGTGTTGGCAAAACTTTTTGTCACTGAGTGCTGATACAGGAGCTCACATGCGCGTCAGAAACTGGAAGAGCAGCTCCCTGGAGTGCACGTGGGAGCGCTGGAAACCCGAAGAGCAGCACTCTGGTGTCTGCCTGTGGTTGAGCTTCCGGTTTCTGCCAAGCACATGCATGCCAGCCACCTGGTTTCTGGCACATATGCACATGCAAAGACCAGCTGGCCGGTGCACACATACACGCCGGGGAGCTGCTGTTCCAGTTTCTGGTGCTCCCACGCACGTGAAGACCAACTGACTGGCACGTATGCGCGTGCTGGAACTCAGAAAAGCAACAGGTATGGTTGGCGTGCCCAGAAAGGTGGCTTTGCATGCAACTTCCAGCACGTGTGCCATAGGTTCACCCACACAAGTATAGATGTCCTTGACAGAAATCAGCAGGAAATCCTACATAAGAAAAAAAGGCTAAATTCTGGTCGTCACCCAATTTGGTTGCGAACAGAAGCGGTTGCGACCCGAGGTTCCGCTGTAATTGCTTAGTTGCATTCAAAGTTACAACAGACCCCCACCCCAGATGTACCTACAACTGATTTTGAGGCAATTCAAACACGTCTCTGACCCATTGGGATATAAGGAGAAAAGCACATTGGGCTGGCAAGATTGTTATTAAGGTCTATTTAAATAAAGGGTAAGTTTAGTTTTCCAATGGAGTTGCTTTTCTGATATGACTTGATCTACTAGCAGGGTTAACAATGACAGGGCCATAAGAACAGGTGCCATGTTATGTGCCTGACTTGCCAATTTTATTTTTCACTAGAAGTATTTTTAAAGTTGTTCTTGTCATGCTTTACTTAATTTTGGAAATTGTTTTTATTTAAGTAGTTTAGACACTTTATTACCACCACCACCACCCCAAAAAAGCTACTGGTCTCCACCATACCAGGTTCATGCTAAGATCTCATGCTAAGGGCATCTGACTATATAAAGCACCATTTGGGTAATTTACAAGCAAAGAAAAGTTTTCTGGTATCAAGCTGTAGCGTATATATGAAGTTTTTAATTGTCTATTGATTAACCAAACTTACAATTGCAAAAGAAAATGAAAGGAATAATATATAACTCAAATAATAAATCTGAAATGTATTTCATAGTTGATTATTAAAGTTGTATTCACAGAATGCTTGTTTGAATTGTAGGATTCATTCGTTATTTGTGGAAAGGGATGCAGTCCTCCAAGAAAAGATGGAACTTCCACAGTTATATGGCAAAATCCAAGAAGCCAGTGATCCAACTTTGATCTTTTGGATAAATTCATTATACAGCAACCTTGTAACTTTCATCTTTATAACTATGATAAGGAAAAATTAAGGCATTCATGTATGAATCTTTTGAGACCTGTGAAAACTGTAATTTGCAGTGTAACGGCAGTTAAAATATACATAAGCTGAACTACCAAATCAGAGTAATGATTTTTACTCCATTTGATAAAAGTACATTTATGCCTCTCTGAAATGACTTTTTCAGGTGAGGGGCCTGGGATGGTATAGTCTGTCTAGAATTCAGATATTTTAAAAAATAAATCTTTGGACCTAACTAACCAGACCATTAAAATTCACAGAACCAGCTAATATAATTGAGTAATCTTTATGTTAAGTCATAATACAGTTCATTTTATAGAATTCCATGCTGTTTGCTCTCCACCACACTTAAGCACCTAGTGAATGTTGACTTATAAGGAAAGTGAGGGTCCTCCTTGTCTTGTTAGATACAGAGATCATAAAAGCAAGTTCAGAAAAATTAGATGGATTTTGGGGGGGAACTAGGGAATTATGCTGATATGGATGGATATCAAGTTCCTTCTAACTTCCAAGAACTGGATACAAAGCAAATTCACGGACAATTATTTGAATCTAGGTATAATTCTCATCCTCCCACATACAAAATCTGCTAAATGATTTTAATGTAGACAGTTGATTGAAATAGAATCCATAATTAACATACTGTCTGGTCTATGTATAATAAAGGGGCAGTAAATGTTCCTACACAAGAAAATTGGGTAGACTTCAGTGCTACAGAAAAGGTAGTTATTGTTGAAGTTATCAAGTAAAATTGTAAACTAAGTGATAACAGGACACTATGTAAAGCTTCTGATATTTGACCACTTAGTCTAAATGAAACAATCAAACAAAAAGGTTGCATGCTGAGGTATCAAATAACACAAGTTAAAATGTATAATGGTTGCAGAGGATATATGGGTGGGACAGGGATAGGAAACATACATTATAAATGCTGAGTTCCAGATACCTTTTCACAGTCCTACAGAAACCAAAACATGTCTTGCTATCCTTAAGTTCCAGTTGAAATGTTCAGAAAAATAGAGCTGTTCTTTTACCCCAAGAAAACAGGAAAGAAATAATTAAAATGCTGCATTCTAGTACCAGTGTCCATCTAATTCAGTACACCCCTTGGAGATACTCCCAGTTCTCCCCTGAAAGTTTTATCATGCAAGGGGGGGGGGGGGGGGGGGGCAAGTATACTCCTGCTCAAAAAGGAGTCACACAATTCATATCCATCCCTTTTCCTTTTCTCAAGTTCAGTCTGGAGGTTTCACCAATAGTGAAACATCTTTGGGGCAGTTCAGTTCTTTGTCCTTTTCTGATTAAGCTGTCCCCGGAAGCGCCACAACAGGCTTCCCTAAGCCTTGCTCTACTTCAATTTAAGAATGTTCAGCTTTAGCAACACTTACAACAAAGAAAGAAATACCAATAAAATTTTTAAAGGATTTTATTAAATTTAATAAATAATTTCCATGGTAACATTGTAAAAAGTGAACGTTTGTTAAAATAAAAGGCACTTAAAATATGAATGTGGCTACTACTGAATAGATAACAGAATAGCCAGCAGCAAATATACAAGCCACAGTAACTCCTGATTCCGAATCATGCAATTTTAGATATAGGATAAATTACAACCAAGATTGCAAAAATAAGCTGGTTTAATAATTATCTTACATAGAAAGAAATCAAGTACATTAAAGTTACTAAAGCACCAGGCTTTAAACCAAGCAAGAAATTTAAAAAGAAACCTAAGGAACTAAGGCGCTAAGAACAACTTGCTTCTATTCTGTGCCCTGTATATACTGGACTTTCAATTTCAAATATGACCCATTTTCAAAAAGTCCAGCGTCTTGGGACAGCATCAGATAAGGGCAGCTGATTTAAAAGGAAGTCTTAGCAGTGTATTTGTCAGAACTAAAATTGGAAACTGAATTTACACACAGGAGTTATTATTATCATGCCTGTATTAATAATATTAAAGCTCTTCATTTTGGATCTATTTTTTCTTTTTATTCTTATACATACATAGTGACAATTTAAAATGTATGTCACACATGAAACTTGAAATTAAAGTTACATCATGGTTTCTACATTACTGAATACAGAAAGTTGGAAATTGTCTCTCATTATTTATAAACTAATTTTTATAGTTTATTAGTAAGTATTAGGTTTGCACTATTTGTGCAAGCCAAACCTTGTTACATCTATAAGGCTAAAAACTGTTCTAATTATAATACTTATGTATAGGCAAGTTGTTTATTAAGCATTTCATTCCATACAAAAGCCAGGGTACATAAAAAAGCACCTTGAGTAAGCTATAATCTTATTGATTAGGATATGCAATCTCAAGTATTTTGTGAATCTTCTGGCACTGTTTGTTTGCAAAAACAAAGGAAAAAAACCTCAAAAATAAAAATACTGTACATTTAAAAAAATTGCATAGGAAACATCTGTGTAGGTAAGTAAAGAACTAGTAAATCCATTGCAAATTGCCAAAAGCTACACAATGAGTATAAAACTATTATATCACACCCAGTGCTGTGAAAGCATAAAGCAGTTTTCATTTCCCCTCATACTTAGGATTCACTACAGTTGTCACGGCACTTTTGTATATAGGATTTTCACCCTAAAAGAAAAGAAAAAAAAGGATTATAGAATGAAAAAACTATCAACTTACTGAAAAAATATTTTCACATACTGCCAAGCCAATTAGAGATCCATGTGTACATGGGTCCCACAGCTCCTGCATTGGATCAAGATTGAAACAAGCAAGGAAACCTTTTGGTTTTTTGGGGGGGAAGTGGGAGGGAAATATTACAGATTACTATCCAGCGTTTTTAATTTTTACTACATATCATGCCTAACACAATTATTATTTAGAATATACAAGAAAAGAAATGGCAAATACTCTATTCATAGGAATTTCATAACACTTTATTTAGTGCATGATGGTGATTATATGGGTGGCCATATAAATAAACATTAAAAGAATTTTGGGGAAAAATATTTTCTTTACATCGATTCCATATTCCCTCCAGTGTAGACGTACTTTAATTAAATCAGAAACTTTGGATGCATTTTTGACAGTGCAAAATTAACACTGACATTACTGTATCAGGAAGACTCACAGCTCAAGTGCTCCTTTATTACTGAACTCTTTAATGATCTAAATAAGATCAGCCATAAAATTAGTCTCAATGTGAACACAGCAAATCCATCTTTCAATATTGAAGAACAAAGCTCACAAACAGCAAACAGAGGAAAGGACTTGCGACTCACACACAAACTCTGTATAATCAAGATGTTTAAGCATGGATATATTTGTTCCAAATTACACAAATATTGACACAGCAAACTGATTTGCAACTAATTCCCTATACTGAAATACATATTATCAGACTTTAAAAGCTACATTATACTGCACCCAAAAATTATAGACTTCAGTCCAGGATACTATTTTTGAACTTTTGTTAACTTTTTAAAGCTTGGGGAAAACGTTTTGTCTTTTTTCAGGACTATCACTGGCAATTATACAACTGGATTCATATAGCATCAGAGTATTCAAAAATAAAAACAACAACTGAATATCAAATAACAAGAGATGGAATGGATATATAATATATAATAAAATAAAGAAGGAGAAAAAGTAAGAAAAAAAAGACATATATATGAAGAATGCAGCATATTATGTATACTATCAATACTTTGGCTGTGCCGCAAATTTGTACATTTTATATAAACTATCAACAAAGTTCAATCTAACTATATTCTACCTCATCACACTATTGTCGCGTTCAGTTAGAATACAAATCAACATTCAAAAAAATTATTTTACATGTTGCCAAGACCGTATTTGCTTTATGCTCCACTATCATTGATGCTTTTTTCCTATAAAGCATCTGTTTAGTGGTCACCGTCACAAGTGTCATCCAGGGATAGCACTTACAAACATGATCAGGATTCTCAAGTAAACTAACTAGCTAGATTTAAAAAAGTGATTTTAGTGACAGTGCAGTAAATAATTTGTTCCGTTAACAATTCAAACTACTTTAAATTAAGCTACATCATGCCCAGTTTATTTCATGAGATTCAAAGAGCATCACATCTCAGCATTTGCTAAGCCTTAAGGCTAGAAAAGGGCCAGAACTCAAGCATGTGATTAATATAATGTTGCATAGAACCCTTTATGAAGAAGTGTGTGTGCTCTGGTTTGCATTTCTTACTTTTTTGGGGTGAGGGTCTTTGTTTTACTCACAAGTGTTTAAGACTTTACTAAAGGGGACAAATGGGTTCTTAAATGTTTGTCCACTTCCTGTTTATTTATTGGCTGCCTTCAAGTCAGGCCCTGAAGTTTTCTTGTCAAAATTCTTCAGAATTTACCTTCTTCCTATAGCTAAGAAAAAGGGAAATGTGTCCAAAGTCCAAAGACTACATGCCTAAGGCTAGAATTTGGTTTCCCAAGTTCTAGCCCAGTGCCTTTAATTATTATAGTACATTGCCTCTCTAAATTCTGTTATTTAATTCAAAGTATGATGCAGCAGTTAAAAAAAGGTGTTAGGAATCAAGCAATAATTAGTTAAAGCTGCATTCAGCAACTCTGAAAGAAAGCACATGCAAAGAGAAAGAAATAGATAAGAAAATACGAACGGAAACTTAGAGACCAGCTTTACGTCCATAGTTTGGATTCTTGAAATTATTAATAGGACTCTTGTATATTGGATTTTCTTGCTGAAGGTAGAAAAATCATCAATGTGGAACACAAGAGAAACAACATTCTAAAGAAAAAAGGTTGTGTTCTACTAACATAAAATTGTTAGTTCTTTTAAGATCCAGAGTTGTATTGAATGATATTCAAATGAATAAGATTCCAACTAATATCCTCGGAGAGAGTAAAATATTGAGGTCTACAACTGGAAAAATGTGGTGTTAATATTTAAAAGACTGAACACGCTTAAGAGAATTAAAGAATTATCCAGGAGACAACATGTCTTCATTTTGGAATGATCTGGAAATATACAGAAAGCAAGTCTAACACATATATTTTTATAAACTGATGTTTGAAATTTCTGAAGTGTGCAAACTATCCTCAGATATGCATGCCTGCTTAAGGTTA